TTTTCGTCCCATACAATGAAATTATCTTTACATGAAACTGAGTAAATAAGCATTTAAAAAAAATATATACATTTTTATGGACAATTCGCACTTGACCAAATAATAGACTATGCCATTATATTTTTATTCAATTAAAGATAGTTTTATTACCTTATTTATAGCAATTTAGTTATCTGTAAAGTTATTGTTACCAATTAAAGTAGGTCAATTAAAGCCTCTACGAATTTCATATGAAATATATGGCGAGTGTTTAATGTTAAAATGTAGGATATTTCTAGTTTTATTTAAAAAATATATTGATGTCGATATACTCATTAGGTAATGTACTTTCGATATCAGTTTAAAGCTTTTTGATATCTCTTATACTTATGGAATAATCGCCTGGGCACATTGCTACATACTGAAAATGAAATTATTTTTTTGGATCTAAATCCCGTATATTTGCTTTTTCAAATATGCCAATATTTTGGATTCTTTACAGATCTCGTGGTCAAGGTTAACTGTAGAATACCATCTCAGTTATCTGTAAATATGGATCCTATAAAGAGCAATAATCATTTTGATAATTTGTTTAAAAAAATTAAGATCAGAAAAAATAGTTTTATTTCCATTGAAGTATTTTAAATTAAATAGATGATAAATAAGTTTCTCACCTCCTCCTCTAAACCCTCTTATTGTGTGAGGAGGCCTGTACCCAGTAGTGGGACTATATACATATAGGTTATTATTATTATTTACTTTATTGCTGAGTACTTGGTACTTGGTGTAACGGGCTGGTGTCCGCAACTCGACGTCAAGGCGCCTATTTTGCGTGTAATGAAGTAATTGCTGAGTAATGTACTTATCTAAAACCCTTTTTCATTACAAGATATAAGGCCGCCAGTTGTACATTGGCTGACTCTGTCATGCTTATATTACTGCTCTGTGTTGTCATTGTAATTTTAATGTGCAATAAAGAATATTTCATTAATTCATTCATTCATGCATTATAATTATTATTATAAGGGTGACCTTAATTCAGGGCCTATGCTGTCTCTCATCACTGGGACCATTGACTGATCTATTGTGATCACTACTACTTGCAGTTCGGAGCTAAGGCCAACAGTATTATAGAAATGAAGGACTTTCCTCGCTCTGACAGTTTTTGTCCATTGGTTGTGGTCTGTGCTTTCCACTTGGGCTAACAATAATAATTATTCTTATTTTACAAATGGTTTGCTATAATCCTTATTAAAAAATATTTTTTTCACTGCCTTTTCTGTGTAAACAGGTACATAATAATATAACACACTCACTCACAGACCCACGTTAAGGTAACCCTGTATTGTGCATGCCACGCATATAAAAATTTAGTATGAGTACATCCTCTAATACACTCATACTAAACATGCCCATGCCTCTGATTTTTACTCCAACTTGTTTACTATATCTGCTATCCGTCTATGGAATTCTCTCCCTTCAAACATTGTGTTAAGGAACATTTTCTTAACTACTAGGTCTTTTTTTTTCTCCATTCCCTAATTTTTCTTCTTTTTGCATAGTGTTATAATCTCCTTTGTATATGTATCTTATTATTATTATTACTATTTATTTTATATTCCTACAAAGGTATTTAAGTATTCTTATGTATATATACAAGTATATTATTATTATTTGTGTATTTATTCTAATAATGTATGTATTTCATATTATTATTTATATAATTACTTGATGAGTTGAGTATTTATTTATAACCTAATTACAAGATATTCTTTGGTTGCACCCCCCCATTCCAACTGTTAAATTTATTTTATGTCCTAAAGTTGCATGGAAGAAATTGCTACTTAGCAATAAGGCCGCCTATTGTACACTTATCTTACTCTGTGATACTTACACTACTGTTCTGTGTTGTCAATGTAATTTTAATGTGCAATAAAGAATATTTCATTAATTCATTCATGAAAAAATATACAACCATAAATTACACCCATACTCACGAGACAAATAAATGTAGGTCATACAAATATTTATCACGTCCTGAGAATCAAACCTGAGACCTCTGCATGGTAGACCAGCACAATGACCGTTCGGCCACAGAGCCAGTTAATATTTACAACTTACGATTGGTACTTTTGTATAGCAGCTTTCGCAAACAGAGGCCAAAACAAAAACAGTTATTTTTTACTTCATTATTAATTGGTGTTTTTGAAGATCACTTCAATGCTAAAAAACCATCAACATAAAGTTTTTGTAGCTTTCCAAAAGTAAATCACTATGCTAATTTAATTTATAAATCCCATTATCTAAGTTTCAATTTTGAGAGAAAATAAAGGGTGACTTTTAAAGTTTATTCTTGAATTAAAGCATTTACAATAAACAATGAACTATGTGTACATTTGCATGTTGATTATTAAGAATCTATTAAACTCTATTTAGAGATAACTATCGCTAAGCTTATGAGAATTAAGACTTCAACATCTACCCACACAATAAAGTTGTTGGTATTGTTGGTTTTACAGGCGCCCTGTTTGTGAACAAATTATACCATGATTTACTAAAAAAATTGGTTATTTTTTACTTTTATTCAAGTCGATATCGCACTATCTATCATTAATTGCTATCTATTGACTTTGTCGTCGATGTAAGAAAGCAATAACACCACTTAAAACAACCAAAGCTCGGCAATACGTCCGACATTGTTTCACGACTAAAAATAGATTTTTCTCAAATCATTCAAAACGCACTTACCCTCTATCATTTTCTTCAGTTCTAGGACGGTCGTTGTATCCTTAGCATCTGTGAAGATGGTTAATTTTTTTCGCCTAATCATTAAAAAGACATCCTGAAAACAAATTCCATTTTTGAGGTTATATGTCTAAAGGAACACAGTTGCTTAGCTAACACAGCCGTTACACAACAATATTTTATCAATGTATTATAGATTTTCTCCAAAAAATACTCACCATAATGGATTTATATTTACAAAACTATTTTGTATTTATTTTCAGTAAAAAATCGTTTCGAGGCGTACGAAACGAAATTAAAATTCAATGACAAATTGACTTGACAACTGACCATACCACAGATAAAAAAATTAAAAAGTTGGCTCGGCCATAGAGAATCGCGTTTTTGCGTAACATTTAAACGCTAGATAGCAACGATAACAAATTTTATTTTTGTGGTATAATTTCTTCTTTGAAATCTTTTTAATAAAGCTTTTAAGCATCACGTTACGCTTAAACTCTGTGCTGTAGGATTATTACTCAAAACATTAACCCTTACAGGATGGAAAAAATGTTTATTTCAACCTTTAAGTAACTATGGAAACCATTATTTAATGGTTCCCATCACAGATTTAATATACAAGTACTGTACTAAATCTATAGTTCCCATAGTTTATGTATTACATCAATTGATTGCTCATACACTTTAAAAAAACGAATTTTGGATACGCGTAGAATCTATAATGACGTGAGCCACAGAATTAGTATATGGGTCGTATTACAGAACTCTAATCAATGCTCAAGTCAGGACTTGAGCAGACTTGAGTATGATTTCAAGCACAGGAAATACGACCCTAATGGCAAGGACTTGAGAATGATTTTCAGTGCTCACTGCAATACTCAAGTCCTGACTTGAGTATTGAGTAGAGTTCTGGAATACGACCCTCAATCTTTTTTTTCCATGCTCTAAAATATAAATCCATGGCGCGAGCTAACGAATTGATAAAAATATATCCAAATGCGGGTAATGTCACATTGGCGTCAGGGAATTGCTCAAAAACCAAATAAAGTTTACTTACCCGAGTTGATTTCTTAATCTATTGACCTACACAAGTTTTAAATTGAAATATGCCAAAAAATTTGCAAACAATTAATTAAAACCAATATGACCTATTTGCATAAAGTTTATCCGTACTATAATTTTATTATGAGGAAAGTAGCTTTTGGAAATTTGACATGTTGATTTTGAACCTATGCGTCTGTGCTACAAAGAGGAAGATAAAAGTAATTTTTTTCATACTTTTGTAATGTAAATTGTAGTAAAACGAATTGCAACAATATCTTAATAAGTGTTTTTATATCATAAAATGCGAAAAAACAAAAGTCTGTTTGTATGAGATAAAAAAAATTAATGTAAAAAATATAACCTTTAAGTTTGTTATTGCAAAATGAACTCCCAAATTTGTGTAAACTGTAGCAATAAAAAGGACGTAAACACAACCAACAACCGGCTAGTGACAGAGAGTTGTGGTCATGTGAAATGTATGGAGTGCCTTCTCCAGGAGAAATCTGGTTGTATAGCATGTCAAAATGAAATAAATGATGATATTAGTAATGGCTCAGATTTTGATGTCAGTAAAACTTTAGCGGTGGAATACGGCGTTAATGACGTTAACATAGATAATAACAGAAGTCCAGAAATTGCTAAAACAGAGAAAAAGAAACCTGAAACCTCTCATATCCAGGTTGAAATAGGTAAGTTAAAAATGCTGAAACGCTAACCTCATAAAGCCAAGAAAATAAAAAGAAAAACTTTAAAACAAGTGAGAACATAAATTGTATAACAACAGGCACTTGCTTTTTTAGAAAGATGCAGTAGGAATTAATTTTTAGTTTAAAAAGTATATTACATTTAGAGTTAGGTATTAATTTTTATGGACGACTCACACTTGACAAGACTTAAGACAGTTTCCTTATATTTTCTATGGTTTGGATTTCCCCATATTGTCCCATTTAAAGAAAACACTGTATAACTGATAGATAAATTTTAATCATGAGTCAGACCAACTACCACATAAGTATACCTGGCACTTGTTTCGCCTCTCTCTGAGGCATCCTCAGGGGTTGTTGCTTGCTCAGCCAAAGGCCGATAATGAATTGTTTATAGAGAAGGAATGGAATGAAATTGCAACTTTATGTATAATTGTTATTTAAATAAAAATATTATTATTATATAATCTCATAAATAAATATTTTTATTTATCTCCACAATACAATACAAAGGAACATTATGGCCAATTAATAAAACAAATAAATAAAACATTAGAAACCATCACATACACTCCTCTGATCCGAAAGTAAGTAACTAAAGCGCTTGTTATATGGAAATTGGAAACCATAACAATACCACAAGCACCCAGACCCAAGACAATATAAAAAGGTAATTTCTCTACATTGTCCCGACCGGGGATCGAACCTAGGACCTCAGAGATGGTGACACCACAAAAACCAGTGTGTCAAAACAAGTTGAGGAAAACATTGAAACCATGGCATGAATTCTCTCCATCTCATCTCATCATCAACCCATTTATATGTGCCACTGCTGGGCATGGGTATCCTCTCAAGTGAGAATTTAGGCCATACTTAGCCACCCTGGAGCCCCTTAGCCTATGGAGAGACGTTGGCTCTCTGTGTGTATTCTACCGTTTTTGTAATGAGGAGTGCTTTAAGGAACGGCTGGCAAAGCATATGCAGCTCATCTGATGTTGCGAATGTCCATGGGCGATGTTGACTACCTCCCATCAAGTAGCTTGTCTGCTATTTTCCCTCCTTCTTTACATATGGTTTGCAGACTTCATACGTTTACGACATCCAGATTTCATCACGAGGTTTTTCTACACCGAAAAGTTCATAATAAATTTCAAATTTCGCATTTAAACTCCGAAAAACTCAGTGGTGCAAACCCAGTTTCGAAGCCTCTGCTTGGGAGGCGGTAGATTATGCTACCAATGTTTTATTCTCAGTAGAAGAGAATAATGCTTACACAACTAATCTATTATTTTTTTGTTTATAGTTGGTAAAACGAAAACCTATAAATGCCTAGTTTGCAATAAGAAGTTCCATGCTCGCAGTATGGTGGCATACCATGCTTACTGCAACGGACAGACAAAACCTTATCAGTGTCCTTTCCCAGAGTGCAATAAGGTATAGTATAATATGCTTTCGGACACCTAGTTCGAGCCACCTCGCATTTTTATCTTAAAGGGCTAGAATACAAAAGTAGTGTTATCGAAGAAACAGTTTTCGCCCAGTGTGACAAATCCAAATTTCCAACAAGGATTCATGGAATGGATTCAAAGACATTTAGTATACTAGTTTCAGAAATAAGTGTAGGCCTCACAAACATTTCTCAACAACAACAGACGCTGGTTCAAGTCCAGTTGGATCGAAGGAACTTCTCTTTGTCATTGTTCGACCTTTGTTTCAATAATAATAACAACAAATTAAGGGAGTATTTCCACAAAAATTAACGTATGTCATGGTAGTAAAAGCATCATAATATTCAGTAATAATAAATATTGCAATTTAAATTATTGTTCCAGAGTTTCACTAGCATGTCGTATTACCAATACCACATGCGGGTGCACAGCGGCGACCGTGCGTTTCCATGTAACGTGTGCGGGAAGAGTTTCTTTCAGAAGAGTAAGATGATGCGTCATAGTATGAAACATTCCAGTTAGTTTACTTTTGTTTTACAATTTTATGATTGTACCTCAAACAAAAATATCTGCCAATTGTGACCGACCCGGAAACATTACACCTGCCTCAAAATAAGTCAAAAAATAGATGTGCCATACGAAACTTCAAACAAAAAAGTGCATGGATAATTTTTATTTTAACGATAATTTGCCTAAGGGCGCATGTCCACGCTAAGAAACTTCGATACACTGCCTCGGCGCCGCCGGACAAGAAAGAAATATTGTCTACCCCCGATTCGACGCGCTCTGCCGCTACTGTATGGGGCGGGGCGAGGTGCCTTATCACTAAACGAACGTTTATGCGCGTGGCCGGGTGTTGCTTAGTAGTCAACATACATACAACAACATATTTTTTCCCACAGTCGGTAGTAAAATGACAGCTACCTGGAAGACTCTTAATGCACTGACACATTTTAACTTACACACGTCTTTGCGAAAGCATTCGTATCGTGTGCATGCTCATCATTTTCTCGTCTGCAACAGACGCGACATGTTGTCGTGGCAAGATCCGACAAAGTTCTTGTCGTGTCCAAGACCATTCTCATCTTTTCTGTGACGTCGAATTTCTTAGCTTGTACACGCGCCCTAACTGTACAAGGACTGTTGAAAAATTTCAATTTGTGTTTTGGCCATTTGTAAATATTTTCTTATATTTTGTTATTATTTGTTGCATTGTTGTAGGTATTTACGTTTAGTCGATTAATTTAAGTAACTTTAGTTTTACAGTTGTAATTTTTTTAATATATTGCCTTGTAGCCAAAGCTCAATAAATAAAAATGTTATTAAAAAGCGAATTAAAAATATATAACTGGCACTGAGAATGTTTTTTCATTTTGTATGGGAATATTATTTTGTGTGTTTTATGCCCTGTTTTAATCGCAGAAGACAAAAAGTACATCTGCGAAGTGTGCACCAAGGGCTTCAGCAACTCTACAGCACTACGTCGACATGCGCTGACCCACACCGAAGAGCGTCCGTACTGCTGCACGATTTGCGGCCAGCGCTTCCGGGACAGCTCCAATTTTAGGAAACATGTTATTAAACATGAAAGTAAGTTGGTCAGTCTTATAATCATTCTGGTATAACAATGCGGCGACAATCAAACTAACTTTGAATTTTAATTAAGAGCCACAGGCCGAACGGACTTCCGTTCTCAGCCTGTCTACGAGCGCCCCAAGCCGTCCCCCACTGAGGATCGGCCTTTAGCGTCGCTGCTTTTTGACTTTAATTTCTCCCACCAATGAGATAATTTTGTATGGCGGCCATATTGAAAAATGGTGGAAAATATTGTTTGGTCTCTTTTTATTTATTTGTTGAGCATTCGCTATAGAGCCGTTAGCTTAAAAGGTAAGAAATAATTAAGAAACTCAAAACGTTATAACCAGTTTTCGGTATTGAGGGTGTTAATTTGCCTAAAGTATTAACGTTTTCTTAGTATGGACATACCCATTTCATCAATTCGCATTCATCAGTTCGCATCAATGCGAACAAAATTTCTTTTTCATAACATTCCAAAGTATAGGTTGTCTCATGTTTACTTTTTAAATTTCTAAAGTATTTAAATACGTAACTACCTATAGAAACATAACTACAATATAATGTTTTGAGATAATAATTTGTAGACGCCAATGTACTCAAATTTCAAAAAAAAAAAATTTTCAAATATAATCAGTTCCGAAGTTTGTAAAGGGGAATGTCTTTTATATATAATTAGCTAAATTAACTCACTCAATTACGAACACTGGATATGACTAAAATTAAAAATTAATCCGTGTAAAAACGTATAAAGTTTTTTTTCGTTTTTTTTTATAATATTAAGTGACGGGACGACAAGCCGTGCGCCTGTTAGTAAGCTACACGTCTGTCCATAACAGTTGCAGTTCCACTCAGAGCTTTAAATCGCAAAGAACTAGTTTTAGTTACTAAAAAAAGTAATTATTATTATTATTATTATTACTCTTCAAAACCGGAACACAGTAATGCTGACATTACTACTTGCCGGCAGAAATAGGTAAGGTGGCAGTACTCCCCTGGAAGAACTCTTTCACGAAGAGTCGACCATATTGCAGGGGTATATAGTTTTTGTTCGTTTCTTATAACAAAAAATTTATTACGATAAACAAAAAATGTAAAATTCATTAAAATTGAAGAAAATAAAACTAACCGCGACATAGAGGAGTAATTTCACAAAGAAATAATTGAATATCGTGGTAGTAAAAAAACGTAACATTCAGTAAATTTATAAACGATGATATTATGAAACACCGCCATAGATAATATTATAGCTGCGAGTATTATACCAGCATATTTTTGCACTCCAAAGTAGCAAAGGAAGGCATAATTTCACGATTTGCGAAGTTTTGAGGGACCATAATGTTCAAAGCGAAAGTGGCTGACTGAGATCAAGTTTGCTGAACTTCGCGTACTGTTGGCACACGTGTTATGCCCACTAAGCACTTCTGTATTTATTGTTCTGTGGTAGTAAAAACAATCGTGATATTCGATACAATAAATATTTGTTTTATTTTTTTTTATTTTTTGTAATATTTGTTACGACAGACATGGGCAAGTCTCCAGCCCCTGACAGTACGGTGCGCCGCGAACTGCGCGCGCACAAATGTGTGTACACGCGGTGTAAACAGGCCTTCTATTCGCGCAAGGACTTGCGACGTCACATGCAAGTGCATACTGGTACGTAGAACGAGTTAGTACTATGACACAAAAATTAGCTTCGGTAGCATGGTGTAATGTGCATGTTATGTCCATTTTGTCTTACATTTGTTCTAGGCACCAAGTCTGTTAATTTTAAATCAAAGGTTCTCAAAGTTTTTGGCCCACCGCCCTTAGGCAAGATAAAACAATTTAAGCTACCACCAAAAAAAATTGAAAACACGTATTTTTTATATTAACACAAAAAAATCACAAGGAATATATATACATATATTCTTATAAATTAAAAGCCATTTCAAAAATGTATATCGTATACTATACGTGTCCTGTGAATTAACTTATTCACTATTTTAATGATTGAGGTCCTAAAGCATCTTATCGCATATGTAAAAATGCAATAATTATAATAATAAGACACACAAAATAAACAAAATTAAATTTAGTAGCCTAAAAATCGGCAATTTTGAATAAAAAAAAAAAAGTCAAATATCTCGAAAAGGGTTAAGTTTAGGGTAGGGTGTTTCATAGTAAAATAAGTCAGAAATGATGAGTACTCCACGCCCTTAACGGATCTAGCACGACTTTTCCTGTAACCCTGTATATAAGTTTATGTTTTTGTTTCTATCCTGAAGATTTGTAGGAGTCGTGTTTTCACACCGTATTACTGTATATTTTTTCCAGTGATTGATTCCACACTTCCACTGTTATGCAGAATCAACCAAAGCCATTTGAGATTGAATAGACTCTTAATAGTAAATACCCAAAACATGATCTAGCATAACAGTTTTCCCGCTTCTCCTCCGCTAGTTTGCCTTAACACAAGGTCTTTCACCATAGACACGAAGCCGTACCGCTGCAAAGCGTGCGAGGTGGAGCGTCGTTTTCGGCGGAAGGACAACCTCGACCGGCACATCCGCCACTCGCACCCGGGTCTCGCTCCCGCAATGGCCGCTGTCCGTGAAGAAGCTCCCGTCACCGCCGCATGCTTTGAGGTCAGTCATATCACCGCTTCGCCTGCCTTTAATTAAAGGTAGCACTCCGATGTTGGCGACCGAGACCGGTGGTCTTAGTAGAAAAGTGTCTAAAAAGAAAAATGGCGGGCTTTTAAAGTTACAAGTACAGTTTTTGCAAAAATTAAATAAATAAATAAATAAATAAAATTGTTTATTCAGTAACATAATGTACAGAGAAAACTAAAGACTACTTATGCGATTTAATGTAAAAATAACACATGTACCTGAACTAGGAAATTCCTGTATTTCAGGTTAATTAATATATTATGTATATTAATATAATTAATATATAATAAATTAATTTTATTCTAAGTATATTATGAAGAAAATACGAAGAAAGAAATAGTGATGAAGAAAGTTAGAACTATATTCCATACTTTAAATCAAATTACAAAGGAGTTTATCCTGAAAATTCCAATAATTACGAATTGAAAGTTTTTGTTCAAAGTGACAATAATGTGATATGAGTGAAAGTGAAAACATAAATATTGACTCTTATTGACAGATATTTTGGCTCGTCGAAATCGATACACAAAATAACATATGAATGTGCTGCCATACGCACAAAATAACTAACATTGCACAGTAATAATAATTAAACAATATTACATAAGGGAATGCATTTTTTTTAATTTTGATTCTCCCTACACTCACTCCCTGAATCTATCTCAATGAGAAATGCACCTGTAACATCTTGGAACCATATAATAATCATGCAGTTTATAATTATTATTTTTTCTATCCCAACAGAATGGTCATGCAGAATCGGAGGATGACCCTAAAAAATTCACTGATGAAGTCTCCGAGAAAAAGAAACTTGAGTTTCTCAATCCATTGCCTCCATTACCACTAGAAGTCATAGAACAGCACATGGCAACAGAAACCGTAGACGATATAACCTCAGACGACACAGTTATAGATGCACCAGTAGTAGACAACAACACTGAGAAGCGTGTCATAGATACATCGTACATTCTCCAAGCAAATAACGCAAGAGATAGTGTAATAGTAGGAACGTGTACGGACAGAAAGACTACAAGTCCTGTGCCAGAATATGTACACAAAATTCGCAGGGCAAATTCTTTGATATGCAATAAGGAAACAGGGTTACCTCCTATAGACCCTACGAAAATTATTGAACTAGAGACAAAAACTACTCTAAATCATTTAGATATTGGTGTTCCTTCGCCGAAGAACATAGAGACTTATAAAAATATTCTCTATGATAAGTTGGAGAACAATGGAGGAGAGGAAGAGAAGGCGCCAGAAATACATTGGAGAAGAAAGATGAAGCTTGGAATCAACTGGTAAGTTCATTGTAGCATTACACAAAGCGTTAAATAAGGTGATGTACGAGGTTTGGTCAAAAAAAGGCCGAATTTTTGGAATGGCGTCCGAACCGTGTACAATTTTGAATTAGAGCGCCCCGCTACACCTAACGGCAGTTTTTTTTTGTAATACTTAGTGACGGGACGAACAAGTCGTGCACCTGGTGGTAAGCGACACGCGTGTCCATAATAGTTACAGTACCCTCTCAGAGTTTTAAATCGCAAAAATTTGAGAGACATTCCCACTGAACCCGTCACCCTGAGATATAAGTTGACAAGTCCCATGTGTCTGTAATTTCTTCAGCACCTTAACCCTTCAAAACCGGAACGCTGTAATGCTCACATTACTGCTTGGCGGCAGAAATAGGTAAGGTGGCAGTATTTCCTTGGATGAACTCTTTCACAAGGATCTCTATTGCTAATAATGTATAACATAGTATAATTATTAAGACAAGTAAGGTAAGTCAGGTGCACGCCCGCCGCGCGCCGTGTACGGACGCACACATTGACATAATCTCGCGGTGCACTCGCCTTGCATAGCGCGGGTTGTCGCATGCCCTTCATTATAGAGTTTAAGCGTTCGCTTGGTGTTTAAAAATGACATAAAATATTAGACATAATGTTGTGTTTATGGTTGTTTCAACAAGAGTGTCTCGAATTCAGAATTGTTCAGCATTTCATTTCTATTTCATAATCATACTCCCATAAACGAGATACCAATCCGCAATGCTGGTATAAAAATACCAATACGTAAATACTGCATTTAACAATAGTACATTGTGTATTAAGGGCGATAAATAAGGAATTACGTACGACAGTCTTTTGGAAGCCCGAAGTCGAAGACTGAGGGCGTCCTAAGTCGAGTCGTAGTTCGTAAATCATACAAAGTTTTTCATCTCGCTTGCACGTTAACAGTATGATTGCATGCAGGCTAACTTGACTACAATGCCTGAAATAAAACCCTCGGGCCTTTTTTCTTCTCATTTCAGCGACAGTCGGCAATGAGAAGAAAAAAGGCCCGAGGATATTATTTAAAAAGTTACATCAATATAGCACGAGAATAATACTGTAATGAATACCTTAATTTTTTCAAATTATGTTTGCAACTTGTAGGTACAACTAAAATAATAATGTGACAACCCTACGCCGCGAGAGACGTATAGGCATTGACACGCCGGACAGGCTTGAGTTGCTCTGCTTGTATATATATGTATATAAAAAAGTTAGGTATTGAATGTAAACGTTTTATTTCAGATACTCAACAAACTTAAAGGCTGATTGGGGTAGCTAGTATACGGAGTTGAATTTTGAGCTTATGATGGGTTGTATCTCACTGTTTGCGCGCCATAGCGTATGTCAAATTAAAAGTAAGTAAGCGGTGCTTATACATGCATTGCAGTGAGATTTTAACATTTACGAACAATCATTAGAATGGTTTTGTTCTGCACATAATTCAAATAAAATATAATATAATGTATTTGTAAAATCCTAACAACCCGCATGACTACATTATTCGTTTATTCCCAGTAGTTCCAATATTATTAACATCATAATTAACAACTTTTATCCCATGACTTTTTACAAAACATTATAAACTTACCAAAAGAAAACTTGTAAGTTTTTGTTGTACTGTCTGACACTTTAGATGTATATTTGGTAGTAAGATAGTAAGTTCAAATGTGCAATTGTTCTCCCCCAAAAACCCGCACCCGCACCAGCGTTTTACACAGAGTTATCACCGTTTAGAGCGATTTGTTTAAATATTATTTTTTATGAATGTAAAATAATAATAATAATAATAAATATTAGACAACATCACATACATTGCTCTGATCCCAAAGTAAGTACTTAAAGCACTTGTGTTTTGGAAATCGGAAACAACGACGGTACCACAAACACCAAGACCCGAGACAATATAGAAAAGTTAGTTTTCTATATTGACCCGGCCGGGGATCGGACCCGGGAGCTCAGAGATGGCGACACCATGAAAACTGGTGTGCAATCCACTCGACCACTGAGGTCGCCAAAAAACCTGATGAAATTATACAAAATGTTGTTTATGATGTTAGTAATATAAGATTGTAAGTCCTGTAAGATTCTTAGTATTTTACAGATCACCCTGTATATATTATGCATGTGTATTTTTAAGGGAATGACTGATAAAACGAAAAGAAAGGACTGCGAGATATAGTTATAGAGGTTACATGACGCCTTTGGCCAATGGGATAGGTAGAGGCAGAGAATGGACCTCTGGTTATAGGATATTAAGGGATTTTTTAAAATAATTATATGCATAATAATTATACTTAGTCAATAATGCTTCAAATACATTATGCAAAGTTGTTTACGTCCAAGACGGGTAGTGGTAAGGTCGTGTTGTAGTTTTATTGTATGCATTGAAATGATTGTATGTTAAGATTATGATTGGAAAAACGAGTGCATTGTATAGTGATATTTGCGAGAGCTCGGAATTGCATATATAGTGATGTGGTATTCGCATAAATGTGTAAATTTTAGAGTTGCAACGAATATTCGGTTACTACTCGGTATTCGCCTTAGTCGGCCGAATACCAAATGTCGAAAGACAGGAGGAAGAAATAAATGAATATTAGACAAAATATTTTTTTTTACTGTTCTACATGTTACCAAACTGACGTAGAACAGTAAACAGTTGCTTTTTCATGAAGTAATAAATTTAAAATAATAAACTTGAAAATTTTAATCCCTTTTTTGTTTCATTGTACAAAATTATTTGTCGTAACTGATTTTTCGGGCTAATTTTCGTTCGTGCGAAAACAGGGCGAATAGTTTGACCGAATATTCTTTGCAACACTAGTAAATTTCAAATTTCGAAGTTATTCGAATTGTACTAAATTTATTGCCGTAATTACACTACGCTATAATTTTCTTGCTTATACTGCAATGAAAAGTGTACCTTAACGATATTCACATAAAGTTTGATGCTTGATGTAATGTTTTATAGATTATTAAAGATTGATAGAAGGACTGATTCCGAAACTTATTGAAAAAAAAAATTAGTACTACATTTAATTATGTTTTATCTACCGAAATTTTTTATTCATGTTTTTTTTTAAATTTTGCGCAGGAAGTAAAGCGAACTAGTATAGGTAGATTTTTAATATTTTAGTTTGACAACTTTATACAGAAAGTGTAGGTAGCCAATTACCAATATGCGCCGACTTTTTATGCCACTAAATTATTCTGAAATGTTCAATGAAAGCTGTAGGTTACATGTATTGAAAACTATGATAAAAGACTTGTGGAATTCGGTGACTTTTATTATTGTAAATTGTATGTTATTTAGTTGCCACTGAGATTGTTTTTAACCGACTTCAAAAAAGGAGTAGGTTCTCAATTCGACTCTATTTTTTTTTTATGTTAGCCGGTTACTCCGTTTTTTGTGATTTTTGTTATTTGTGAACCGATTTTGATGATTCTTCTTTTGTTGGTCAGAGGGTACCTCAGTATTTAAATTTGAAGAAAACATTCCACCTCTAAGGGTTGCAAACTAGGGTATGAAAAAGACTTCGCGCACTTTCCGGTAACCGTTTATTTTGATATCAAGTTCTGAGGTTTTCGCGATTGTTACACATAGGAAATGAAACTATTTTTCCGGATTTATATCGCGTGTATTTGTTTTTTCAAATAAACCAAAGTTTCTGGCCCATTACAGGTCACTCAGTCAGTCGTCAGCAGTCCTCAGTCAACTGTGACCATGGGACCTGTAAAGGGCCCGAAACGTTGGTTTGTTTGAAAAAACAAATATACGCGATTTAAATCCAGAAAAAACAGGTTCATTTGGTTTCAGTTTGTATGTATATATAAGCGAAGTTTGAAGTAGGTTCCTTTTTTTAATAATAATAATTATTATACCTTACTTATTTCGCTGGAACAGCGATACGAAGAGGGTCTTGTGCCAATTCCGAGCATTCTGGCACATTCAGCTCTTTCAGGTCTTTGACGACTCCATCCTTCCAGCGATGTGACGGCCCACTGGACGATGACCCGTAGGTTCATAATAATATTTATTTTCTCCACAAACATAACAATTGTACAATACAAAGTTTTAAGTATACTTGGCGTCACAGCCATGCTATAATTTTACTGAAAGAAGACTTAATTTTGATTTCAAAAACATTTCGAACTGCATTCAAAGATTTTTAATTAATCTGAATCGCGAATCGACTCCGCCAAATGTGAAAAAAAAACACCTGTGATTTTACTATACTGATCGAAAGCCTCGGTCATAAGGATTGTTTTCTTCTAAATAACATAACATCTTAAATAAAAGGAAGACATTTAATTAAAATAATTAGGAACACTTAGCTGCATCTTACAAACAATTTAAGTTATCAAATGGTCAAAATGTGTCCCATTCTGTAGTATACATTCTAGTATAAAAATACGTCTAACTAATTTTACATCTTTGTGCTTTAATCTAGTTGGCAACACTGGGAACTTTGATCTCAAGTATTTTTAGTTGACATCATCATACGCTAACGAGATTTTCTAAAAGGTACATAAATGTGAAATATTTACAATATGTTATAGAATAATATAAAAATTTCGTTTTATTATTTAATATGTTTGTAATTTTTACATAGTGTAAAAATTAATTAATGCATGTATATAATTTTCAAGGTTCGGAATCGGGTGTTTATAATTTTCAAGGGTCGGAATCGGGTGTTCCAAATTAGTAGATCTACAATATAGTGCAAGGAGCGATATAGAGTGGTTAAAACCACCAAAAACCAACTAATTGCTTTTGCAAAGTCTGGATTTCCGGAAATAGTGTTACTGCATCGTAAGATAAAACGACTCATAGGAATCTGAAGTCGGATTTGAAAGTACTTCTATTGTCACCATGTAAAAAATTCAGTTCATATCTAACCGAAGTAAACATCTACAATATCCGCAATAGTTAAAACAAGCTTTTGCTTATAGGTGATAAAAATGTTTTCTGGAAACCTGGAATTGGTAAAAAACTAACTACCTAATTAATATTTGGCGGTTTTAACCACTTCATGGCACTCTTTGTAAATATCTAGATGTAGGACATTTATTTACTCATTTGGAACACTATTCCCACCTTTGATAATTTCTTACGATTCTAGCATTGACTTACAAATAAATGGACGACGGGTCTAATACAAAAACCATGAAAAAAATGTCCCAAGTCAACCTATTCGAAATTTAAATTGTTATGTCATCGCAGTATCGCGCTGTCCGTAGAACAAATGAAGACTAAAGCGGAGTGTCGCGCTCTGTATACGATTTTAGCGCCTTACAAGTGCGGACACTTTTTAGCGCGTACCCGACGTCCATATGATTGTAAGTCAATGGATTCTAGGGTAATTTTCAATTTGATTTCGGTGGCAATTTTTATTATTTAAGTATTCAAGTATATCATGGTGAAACATTAAATAGTATTTCAGGTTACCACACTTGACAATTAAATAATACTTCTCGATAAAAATAGAATATGTAAATTTAAAAAATTGCTACCGAAATTAGGTAGAGAAAACTAACCTGAAAATAACTCTCGAACGACTTAAGGTAGTCGCTAAACGGTTATCACTACTTATCAGATTACATAGTGCACTATAATTTTTCTTCTCTCGATATTTTAAAGAGATTACTCGCATCATAATTGTGGCAAAACGGGAACTTTGATCTCATCATCAACCCATTTATACGTCCCACTGCTGGGCAGGGGTCTCGTTTCAGACGAGGGTTGGAGACTTCACACGTTTTCCGAGGGTTGTGAACCTTTTTCAACGTGCAAGTTTCATCACGTTATTTTCCTTCACCGAAAAGCTCAGACAACTTTGACAATTACTCTTTGATCTCACGCACCGAGTATTTTTAGTTGATATCACACACGCTTACGAAATAAAGGTGAAAATATGTTATAGAATAATACAAACATTTCGTTATATTATTTAAAAGTATGTTTCAAAATTTTATACAGTGCAAAAAAATTATTCATGTATGTCATTGGCTTACAAATAAATGGACGACGGGTCTGATACACAAACCACGAAAAAAATGTCCCAAGTCAACATATTTAAATGTAGTGAGATGTAAAGGAATATGAAAAAGCTAAAACGTTGAATTTAAATTGTAATGTCATCGCAGTACTGTCTAATTTTGCTTGCTTCGCTGTCAGTCGAACAAACGAAGACTAAAGCGTGAATGACGCTCTGTATACGATTTTAACGCCCTATAAGTTCGGACACTTTTTAGCGCGGACCCGACGTCCATATAATTGTAAGTCAATGATGTATATATATAATTTGCTATGGTCGGTATAGGGTGTTCCAAATTAGTAGATAAATGTTTGCAATATAGTGATAGAGTAGTTAAAACCACCGAACGTCAATTAATTACTTTTTTCGATTTCCGAAAATAGTTTTACTGCGTCGTAAGATAAAATGACTCATCTAGGAAGCTGAAACTGGATTTTAAAGTAATTCTAGTGCCGCGCCCTAAAACTATAGTGAAATAAAAATTTTAATACTGCAGGTTATTTCATACAGCTGCGTACTGGACTGCGTACACAAAATTCCATGGTAGTGACCCGATTAGCTCTTGCTGCTTGTCTCGATCTATGATATTTCAAAAGTCCAAAAGTCTAGAACAACGTTTACAGTTTTTTACACATTCATCTCCCTTGCGAATAAGTAGTAGAGTTTAATCAATGTGACCATATGAAGTGTAATTTACTCATACCGCTCTGAAATATCGTGATAAGAATCTTGTATTTAGTGACAAACGTTATTTTTTGATATAGTTTAAATGCGATGATGTCGATATATTATATATATCTAAAGACCTTTGGCACTCTGCTATGGCTTGGCAGGAATTGCGAACATTCAATTATATTTAATAATAGGCTAGCTGTTGTAAATCAAATTGTATACAGTTGATTACGGAAGGTATCTAAATTAGTGTGTATACTTTAGTAATGTTATTTATTTGACACGATTCTTAGTAATTGATTGTATTTCTGGTTTTAATATAGTAACAATATACACTAAATCTATGGTAACAATGGAAATGAAGATATAAAGCAACTTTTATATGTTGTAAGAGAAGAGCTGCAGGTTGAAAAAGCATGCAGAAGTAAACTCTAAACTGATCAATCACGGAGTTCTACTGCGTTTCATCACAATATCCACTCACATTATTATGTCTTGCTATTTTATTTTATCGTTATTGTCGTCATAATTGCTACCACATCTTGGCGCCAGAAAGGTTTTTTTAAACCTTTACTTTTAATATGTACCTTTGATCAAAATTGCCGGAAATAACTATTACTTCCGGTCACCCTCGTCTACGCTTGTCTTCTACTTATTCTTTGTTAATGCACAACCAACATCTTTTTGCCATTTATATTTATTACTTCCTGTGATGCTTCGTGTATTACTATGTGGCGAATTCCGTAAAAATTAAAGATTGTAGGGAACAATAAGCAACCCTGTGTAACTCCCTGTCGATTTTAGCATTTTTCTTCGTTTTCCTATTTCTATTATTGTGTTTGATCTCTGTACAGCTTGTAAATTCTTATTCTGCGTCTAAAATTCAATCCCGCATCAATGAAGGCCCGACTTAAAAGCTTTTTCCAAGTCAATAAAGGAATAGTTTGTTTAAAAGCCCAAGGGTCCATCTTCTGTCAATTATTAAACGTGAGATTGCAATATATTAATTTATTGAATACCATGATGTTTTTTATTACGATGGTTTACATACAGTTTTTGTGAAAATACTTCTCTAGTTTGGTGTTATTATTGAAACAAAGATCGAACAAACACAAAGAAAAATTTCTTCAATCCGGCTGGACTTGAACCAGCGCCTGTTTGCTAGACCGCTCCCAACTGAGCTACGAAACGAATCAGCAGGCCTCATGAATTTCTCTTAGTGCTTGCTACCGATTTTTGCTTTTTTAAATGGTTATTTTGCCGTAGCGTCATCTGTGAGAAATCTATGAAAGTTTTTTCGTCACTTAGCCAGGTACCTTTTGAGCTACCATCGGGTGACAAGAGATGTCGCTTTACTAATGGCAATATTTAATTTTATTGAATACCATGATATTTTTTGTTAAGGAAGTTTACATAAAGGTTTAAGTAAACTTCACTTTTTCATAAGATTCCTGTTGTACTTAGTTACTAGTTATCTTACTGTACTACAAGACCTACTATCCCAAGATAAATAATGTTTGTTTTATGGTCTTATTGGTTAAAATAAATTGAAACAAAACTGACTTCTCTTTTAATGCTACATACAGGTACGTATGACGAATACCCGGAACAATTCTTGGAGGCTCGCCAATTTTTAAAACCTTGAAATGATATACTATTTTTGACAGAGATGTAGTTAGTCAATTTATTAAAATAAGTACCTAAGAAATGCTCGCTTTCAACTTGTACATACTGGGCTTAGATGAAGGGTCTCTAGTAGGCCCAATTAAAGGAACGAACTTTTTAAAAGTATGGCTCCAAATTTCGTTGCCCTATCTCATAATTAGAGTACAGATAATTCAGATAGTGTCAGACTAGATAATTTGAGTGAAGGTCTGGCACAAAATATTTACAATTTTGCTGAAGTCCAAATGTTTTTCGCTCATGTACATAGGAGGTACAGTGATATAGGAACCATACGTAAGTTATACAATGATAATTTAGGCTCAATTTACTGCTGCGCGGAGAAGGCGCGCGCTATGGCCGGAATGCTCGAGTATGCGCGAAAATGCTTTTTTTTATAATACCAAAGTGACAGGACAAACAAGTCTTGCGCCTGGTGATGAGCGACACGCCTGTCCAATAGCACTTAGTAGAGCTCCTGCTAGCGCAAATATCTGAGGGACACGGCCACTGCGCCTGTCACCCTGAGAAAAGTTGACAAGGTCTCGGCCTTGTCAACTTTTCTCAGATAGGTATAAGGTAACCGAAACACAGTGGTACTCACATTACTGCTTGGCGGCTGAAATAGGTAAGGTGGCAGTATTTCCCTGGACGAACTCTTTCATAAGAATTTATTTGAAAAAACAAAGGACATGTACAGTCAAGAGCACATCAAGCTTGACACTTTGGATCGTTCTTATCGTAAGCGGCATAGAGTTGGATTTAAGTGTTAAGTGTCAAGCTTGACGTGCTCTTGACTCTGTACAAGCTATTGCGATCTACAGCATTTCAAAATTATTAAGATTGTACATACAATTCGTGAATTTCGATTTATAAAGGAGCCTATGAAAATGCTATGAAGCGGCCATTCTCACATTCGGTATTCTCAGCCTAATTACCGTAGTCATTTCGGTGTTCTCGGCCTAATTACCGTAGCCATTGTTTTTTCTCGCTTAATATACCCAATAACATTGAAATATGAACAACTTTAAGCTTAACTATCATTGTCTAAATGGCATTAGAATAGATAAAGTAGCGAGTTATTAAGAAACAAATATTTTATGGAAACGGTAATTAGATCTAATTAACTGCCTCTGTGGCCGAACGGTTGCCATGCTGGACTGCCACGCAGAGGTCTCAGGTTCGATTCCCGGGCCGGGAGAAATATTTGTATGGCCTACATTTATTTCTCTCGAGAGTTTGGGTGTAATTTGTGGTTGTCTATGTGTGTGTCCATGGTACCCGCGACACAGTGTTTCCCTAGTGCGGGGCTATGTTGAGTGTGTGCGTTGTTATTATTATTATTAATTACCGTAACCATGGATACGGTAATTAGAAAGTTCAGACATTTTTAAGAAACAAAAAAACAATAATTGTAAAGAACAAACTAACAACATTTAAATAACTTTGATTTTAATTTTCTTCACTTATTGTAGTGAATTACACAGATATAAAATATATTTTTTGAATTTTTGATGTTTTTTATCGGCAGAAATAATTAAAAGGTCAATTATTACACTGTTCTTGTAACAGCTGTGATTAGTAATAAGAAAGAATTGGGGTAATATTAAATCATTACCACTAGCCAAATATTAAGAAACCTACTTAAATTTATTTCAAAAAATCTTGAACGGCCATTATATCAGTATAAATAAACACAACAAACAGTAAAAATAATAATTCAGCTGTGTCAGAAATAGTCGGTTTTTTTTAAATGTTTGAACTTTCTAATTACCATATCCACGGCTACTGTAATCAGATCTAATTACCGTTCCATAAAATATTAATGTCTTAATAACTCGAAAACTACTTTGTTATTGATAACTAAGTTTAAAGTTGTTCATATATCAATGTTATTGGGTAAATTAAGCGAGAAAAAACAATGGCTGCGATAATTAAGTTGACGTCACCGAAATGGCTACGGTAATTAGGCCGAGAACACCGAATGTGAGAATGGCCGGAAGGTATGTACAATATGGTTATAAAAATTCATTTTCATTCGGTTTCGCCTTGAAAGCATTGATAATAGGGAACGATGGAATGCGGAACATTTACTGCGAGATGAAATTAGATAAAGGTGCATCTTCCTTTATTTTGTTCCAACCGAATTCCCCCCTGTGTGCCAATAAATAGATCAATCACTTGGCTTAATATTACATCATAGTTTTCACGTAGTTCATTGTCAATGTTACTATAGGTTGCTACGTACACTGTTCTGCTCCCTTAATTTTAATACACTTTGGGCTTTCTTGTGTTAAGACAAATATGAGAGACCCTTTCGCAGATGAAATACTCGATTTATACAAAGAGAAAAATTGGAAAGAAATTGTAGAAAAATACCACGACCACCCCGAAAGAAGCAAAGTATTATGGGTCTTTCCTACCGAGGACAATTTTCAGTTTTTGAAAGAGTGCTTGGACAGCTTGGCGTGCGATAAGATTATGAGTGTTGGATGTGGCACCGGTCTGTTGGAGTGGATGATCAGTGAAGCTACTGGTAAGTTGTTTCATTCATGAAATTGAATTTATTCATTTATAATGCCGTACCATTTTTAATACCAGCCCATTTTAGTAGCAGTAGAGCTCCTTGTTTAACTTATGTCTCGGGGTGACTGGCGCAGTGGCACTGTTCCTTAAATCTTTACGATTTAAATGAGTGGCACTGTAACTTTTATGGATAGGCGTGTCGCTTGCCACCGGCGCCCGACTTAATTACACTAAGCAATGATCTTTTAAGTATATTACGACTTATTACTATATTATTATGTAGGTGTTAATTGTTGTTTATTTGTTTGTGATGTAAATAGGAACAATAAAACATCTTAATACATTATTAAATAAATATAAACTATATTTCACATAAAGTTTAGTGTAGGAAAAAAATGGTATGTAACTCAGCAAAATAGCAGTGTTTCTTAGCGCCAAACCAATGGTTCCACTTAGAATAATAACGCATAGAATGATAGTTTCATATCAAACGAACTGTCACAAGTGAGGCAAAAATGAAGTTCATGTAGGCTAGTTTTAGTAGTAGGTTAATTTTCGGTTTTAGTGAATATTTATATAAAAATACAAGTTGAAACGCGTTACTTCCTTGTGGCATGTGATGTTAGTATCTATTTTATGTTTGTCTGACGTAGTTTTACACTCATTTACCGCACATTTCGTCATTTTTAGCTAAAATTCTTGATTTGTTCGCGGTGCAAGTTGACCTTGAGCACTGAAGGCCCGCCCGCTCGTGTAGGCCGTTTGGTTTGGGAGCGCTTCAATTTGCCTCACTTAGCGTGGGCGGGCTAGATTTCTATGCGTTATTATTCTAAGTGGTTCCAATATTTTATGGGTTAACTAAACCTAAAGTTGTTTTAGTAGCCGGAAGAACTCTTTTACAAGGAGCTCTACTTGTGAAATAATTCTTCTAGGGAAGTATTGTCACATTATCAAGTTCTGCCACCAAGTAGCAAATCAGCATTTCTGCGTTCCGGTTGAGGGTTCTGGTGAAATTACTGGCACATCGGATTTGTCTACTTACGTCTCAGGCTGACGTGCGCAGTGGCAGTGCCCCTCCGATCTTTGTGTCTTAAAACTCCGAGTGGCACTGCAACTGATATGGACAGGCGTATTTGTGTTTACGTAATCCCTTTAGTTTCAATCGTATGACAGACGTGTCGTAAATCGCTTATTATATTTACTAAATAACATGAAAATTCATTTTCAGGCATTCCAGTGTCAGGAGTGGAAGTAGACAGCGCATGGTGGAACAGCAAATACGCTCCGCCCACTTTTATACCTCTCCTGCTCACATCCTCTAAGTTAGACAAGGACATCATTAATGTACTGCAAAACTCTACGAACACCGCGTTGACGTTCTGCTACTTCAACAATCGGCCGGCGTTTGAAGACTACATAAATTTTTTTTCCGGAACATGTTTGATAATTATTGGTCCAGGAGACAGTAAAGGCGTTCATACTGATCCAAAACCTTTTAATGATGTTAGTGAAGACTGGCTGCTATACAAATGGCAGGAAGTCAGGAGCAGCAGTGACTTTATAGCTGTCTATTGTAAAAAATGACTTAAATTATTAGTTTAGAATATTTTTTTTTATTGCGACTCCACAACATAAAAATACTAGTGTTGCAACGAATAGTGTATCGGCTTCCGGCCGAATCCTGAACTTTCGGCCTGGAGCGTGGCTGAATAGCCGGATAAACAGCCTGGTTAAAAGCACGTGCGAAAATTGACACGAAACTTACCACTAAATAACTTTAGTTATGACAAATAATTTTCTATACAATGATACAAAAAGTGTACAAATGAAGAAAGTAATTGTTTATTTCACTTCAGTTCTTTATAGCACTTAATTTTATTTTGGTATGCAAGTAATAAGTACTTGGTTGATTTTGCTTGTTTGTTTATTTAGTTATAAGTAGGTACTTTTAATTTGATTTATCACCATTTTCCATCTCTTAATTATATCATAAAGAAAAACAGCTTAGTTTTGTTACATTTCCTTTGATCTCTTAGATAAATCCAGATAGATCCATTGCCCTTCGCAAATTTACAATACGTAGGTATGTAAAGCATTAATAAAAGTTAAATGATAATTTACTGTTTTTCCTTATATCTTTCAATTGTTTGTAAGTAATCGGTATTCGGCCGAATAGTAATTAAATATTCGGCTGAATAGTAAAAAACACGCCGTTTGCCGAATATTCCTTGCTACTCTAAAAAATACACATAAAGTAAGAATAATTGAAACAAACAAAATACGAGCCAAAATACAGGTATCGTATCTAGTTTATTATATATTGCATTTCTGCGTTCCGCTTTTTTAAGGGAGCTGCTGGTGAAATTGCATGCACATGCACTGCTATTATAATGGTGTTATAACATAAAAGATATGTGAAACTCAAGATTGTGACTGTTATTTAACGTAAACTTAGGGCCGTATTCTAGAACTCTACTCAATGCTCAAGTCAGGGTTGCACTGGAAACACAAGCACTGGAAATACGACCCTAATGGCAGGGACTTGAGTATGATTTCTAGTGCTTTGAATCATACTCAAGTCCTGATTTAAGCATTGAGTAGAGTTCTGGAATACGACCCTTAGGGTCGTATTCTAGAACTCTACTCCCTTGAGCATTGAGTAGAGTTCTAGAATACGACCCTCAGAGTCGTGTTCTAGAACTCTACTCAATGCTCAAGTCAGGATTTGAGCAGACTTGAGTATGATTTCAAGCACTGGAAATACGACCCTAATGGCAAGGACTTGAGTATGATTTTCAGTGCTCACTGCAGTCCTGCAGCGCAGACTTGAGTATTAAGTATTCTAGAACTCTAATCAATGCTCAAGTCAGGATTGCACTGGAAACACAAGCACTGGAAATACGACCCTAATGGCAGGGACTTGAGTATGATATCGAGTGCTTTAAACCATACTCAAACCCTGACTTGAGCAGACTTGAGTATGATTTCAAGCACTGGAAATACGGCCCTAATGGCAAGGACTTGAGTATGATTTCGAATGCTTTAAACCATACTCAAATCCTGACTTGAGCAAACTTGAGTATGATTTCAAGCACTGGAAATACGACCCTAATGGCAAGGCCTTGAGTATGATTTTCAGTGCTCACTGCAATACAGTTGGTAATTGTTTAAATGTCTGCAATAAATTTTAATAACCTGTACATAAATTTTAATAATCTTTTAAGGGAAGTGAATATTTGTTTGTCATCGATTCTCAAAAAATACACTTTATACACTTAATAGTGTGATATGTCTCAGGTGACGAGCGCAGTGGCAGTTTTTTGCGTTTTAAAGCCCTGAGTGGCACTGCAACTGTTAGGACAGACCTTAGGCGTGTCGCTTACCACCAGGCGCACGACTTGTTCGTCCCGTCACCAGGTATAATAAAAAAGATTTTATCCGCTATAGGGGTTAGTAGCTATTTTTTTACCACACGTTATATATGTTTAAAAACGACAACGTTACATTTCATAAACATTTATTATTGAAATAATAAATAATAACAATAAACAGTCTTTATATTTTAATGAAATTGATTAGTTTTTCATTAATTCGATATTCTTTACATTAATTTTATTCGTCGTCGGACGAACAGAAGTGTTCATCATGGGATCTTTTTTTCCTTGTATAAAGTTAGGGAAATCATTGGCACCATCGTTTACCACTTCTAAGTTTTCTTTCTGCGTCATTATAGGTACTTCAGTAACCATCCTATTCATTTCACTAACAGCCACCTCATTTGTCATAGTGTTAGCCGGTACTTCATTATCCAAAAAATGAAAATCATTATGCATGAGATATAGAGATTCTAAAGGAAAATTTATATCAAAACGTGGTAGTAATTTGTTGTCATCAGAATTATCATCAATTTCTATAACATCGTTCTGCTGATCGTCTGATACTTCTGGTAACACTACAGCTGATAAATCTAAATGCGCGGAGTACTGTTCGCCTATAATGTTGTCTATTAGATATTGGTCAAGAATTGGTGGGTTTGACGCAGCGTTATTTAAAGTCATATTGTAAAACGTATCAGATTTTAGTTCATTCTTAATCTCATTCATGTTTTTGTGAATATCTTCAAGGGGCGGTGACGCTTTATATTCTCGGCTAATTGCTTGGTTGTTTAGCAAATTTGCGTTGGACATTCGTTCTAAACTAGGCGATTGTGTATTTTGTTTTATTGTAGCTTCCAGTTTTATGTAACTCGGGTCGTTTGTCTGGATTTTCTGTGGTGGTGGTAACATCGTCATCTGGTTTACATTCATTTGCTGATTGAAGGAGAACATTTGGGAATTATCGTTTATACCAGTATCAACTGGAGTTGTTGCAGTATCACCTAACATGGTCTCTTGAGGATATGGCATTATATTATTTGGAGATTCGCTTAGCGCTGGTTCTGGCATAAACTGTGTCGTAATCAAGTTGTTAAAAGTCACTGGACCGCTCAAAAACCTCTCATTGTCTTCTAATCTTTTAAACGCCATTTGTTGCTGCGAATGGAACATGTTTACTTGATCTGGGCCTTTCAGGATCAAATTGCTTTTAACAGATATTTTGGGCTTTTTCCTTGGCGCGCCTTCTGGTTCGTAGCTATTATTGACGGGCGAGTTACTTAAAGACGGGACAGGAAGAATTTGAGTCGGAGTTATAATTGGTCCTGTAACTTTTGTGGTCAATGGAATGGATATTTTGTCAACTGATTTGAGTGTGACATTGTTTCGGACTAGAGTTGGTAATCTAATTGGGAAATTACTCATTATATTATTGCTGATGTTATTGCTTGTTACAGAGTGACTAGTTGCAAGAGAATTTGCATTGCTATTCTGCAATAAATTCTGTTCCATAGATACCGTTGTGTTGAAAAACCCATGCAAGTTTGCCTGTGATGCATCATAAGGCATTTGAAGCGGCAACAGAGGAGTGTACTGATGCCGATCTATCAATGTATCGGTTGAGCTTTCTGAAATGAGACAGTCAGAATTATTGTCATCTTTGCTCAAATCTTGTACCATGACCTGATTATTGAAATCTGCTTGTTGAATGGTATTTGAAGACGTATTGTAGGTTTTGGAGTAATCTTGTGGTAGACTCTCCGATAAACTGTCACAGTCATACGTTTCAACATCAATGGGAGTATCTACTTTATTGCTACTTTCTTTGTTCTGTTCACTAACTGTATCAATGTCAGAATGTTTTTCGACTGTTTTGCTAGGTATCGTCCAACTGGGTTTATTTTGGTTTTTCGCTTCATTGGTCATTTCTATAAGGAGCTGTATTCCTTCTTTATCCGTATGTGTAGTTAAGTGCACTACATATTTGTCTTTGTTTACTGACTTGAACGAGCAATAGGGGCATCTGTGGATATCGTTTGAGTTCGTGTTGGGGTGTGTGGAGAACATATGCGAGGTGAATTGGGTGGACTGTATGGTTGTGTACGGGCAGTATTTGCATTTGTACACGGCCTCTTTGTTGTGCATCTTCTTGTGCCGCCGCATGGCGTTATGGTCGGCTGAGCGGTATAGGCATTGGTCGCATTCATATGGTTTGTCTCCTGTAAGAAGTAGAAGGGCAAATGGATGAGTTATAATGACGCACTACTCATTCTACTTATACGAAATTATAATGTATGTTAGAAATATTTTGTCTTCATTTGGTACTGCGAATGTTTCTGGCATCCCACTTCGCCGTACCGGTCTTTTGAGAACAGTCCCTCGACGCATGGCACTTGCAGAGAAAAACCCGCGTGCCATCGGACCTACTTACTATGAGCGATTACACGCTACTCTCAGACTTGAACCATCTGACGAAATATTTGGGCGCCGGCTGAAAGACCTTTTCTTGAAAAATCTTATATACTCCGTAAAAGAATTTATGGACTTTAAATTTTAACGATATCAGTATTTTCTATTTTTATTCTAATTTCTACCGCATTAACATACTCTTGTATAATTGTTATCAACTTATGACGATCCTTGATGGAGAATGATATTTGATATATAATTTAATGGCAACAATATTATATAATGAATTGTTAATTTTCTAATTATTGTGTGCTTTTCTTATAATTTTCCTTTTTGTCTGACTATCTCAATATAATTTCTTATACTTTGACATGTAGTGCAATTTATACTGTAATGTTATATTTGAGAAATAAGTGAATCTGAATCTGAATCTATAAAAAAAATCCTACACCTATGTGTTTTATAACATCATGAATTATGGTGAGATACCTCTTGACGAAACAGAGCCGCACTTTGGCATCTTACACTATTCTTTTCTCAAAAAATATATCCATAATTAAATATAGCATACCAGTGTGTGATCGTAAGTGTAATGTCAATTCCCCTTTCCTAGCAGCACTGAATTTGCAATGGCAACATTTGTATGGGCGTATTTTTTCATGTACAGTGGCAATATGTACTCTGAGCCTTCGTGGATTGCTGAACTGAAGATTGCATGTGGGACAGGCGTTGGGCTCGTTTTTGTGAATCAATTTGTGTTTCGTCAGCTGGTTGGATGTCTTGAACGATTTTAAGCAGATTGGACCTGTAAAGGAATATAAGGTAAATTATCACAGGTACTTTACATAATGTTTATTAAAACTTGTACAACAACATCCAGGCATGTCACCCAAGTTAAGTTACTCAATTTTAGAATCACACTATTATGGATCTATTCACTCATTCCATTCAAAGTTGAATATTATTTGGTGAAAATTATAATTAATGATTCAGATTTTGTTTTATTCGGCAAAATCATATTTCTACACATGAAATATTGGTAGTTTTGTTATGTAACCATGCATCTGCATAGTTGTATGTTGCAAGAAATCACAAAAAACGCTGCTTTGACTAACATTAAAACAAATATATCGTTGAAGCCATTTGTAACACAAAATGCAGTAAGTAAATTTTAAGACCTGCTGAATGGCTCAACCATTTTATTTTGAAGTATATTTAAAATTTACCTTCTAATGTTAATAAATTATAATTAATTTTTCATTTATGCACCAAGTATGTGTATTTTAATTTTTTGCACACATTTGCAAAACAGTCATTGTAGTAGCTAGCAATGTGATTTTTACTTCAAATTTTCCGTTTTTTAGTTGACTAAATGAACGGCACACTAAAGTGCCTCGAATCATCTTCACTTTCTCGAAAAAAATTTTAAGTACAGATTGCGGCAAACTTTCAGTCCACTCTGAACACTGCACGATCCACATTGCAGTAGCAAAACAAAGATTTATAGATTAATGTGGACAACGTAATTGGCGCTAAGCTTTACTTAAAAACGTTCAATGTAAATCGTTATTAATAGCTGTTGTTGTTCCAAATAAAATAAAATTTTAAAAAATCAGCAGGAGGAAGGAGGGGCATGACAGCAGAGCCTGCCACCCCTCCCCCGATACTGCAATGGTCTTGCTCTTTAATTGTGAGTGTGCTTTCACTGTTTATGTATATGTATGTTTGTACTCGTAACGAAGTACAGTTGCAATGCATTGATTTAATAGTTGTTCTGTTATTGTTAAGTTTTCGTTTTTTTTGTCATCATTATTTTTTTTTTTTGTTTGATAACAAGACTGAAAATGCCTAACCACAATACTGTTTTAGAAGAAAGAAACAAAAAAAGAAGAATTTTATTAGCATTTGCAAAATTTCAAACAAAACAGAATCATCAATTGGAATGAGCATGTCATGATGGCAGAGGACTATACTAACATTTAAAATTGTTTAAGGTGATATTTTTATCAATAAAGATTGAGGACAATTGTACCAAATTTGTCATTCAAAGAACTAAATTCTTTTTCAATATGAATAAATCTCCTTACATGTGTACGCTTTAATTTTCCCATGACACTTCATATGCACATTAAACAGTCTATACTTCTTATAAGTCTTAAATCCGCATATTTCACAAGTGTGTAGCTCCATATCCATCTCATGATCTTTCCACAAGTGAGTATGTAAGGACTCAGTAGTTACAAAGTATTTTAAGCACTCTTGACACTGAAGTTTGCCATTTTGATGACATTTTCTATGGTATGCTAACTTCTCGTTATCTTTCATACGAAAGTGACAGTCATTTACTGAACATAATGTACTAATTTTTTCATCTTTATCAAATGATGTAGTGTTCGCACCAATCGGTCTACCAGCCTTTGGTGCTAATGGTTTATGAAATTCTGAACTTTCTGCAGGCTGAACAGGAGATTTGTTATCAATAACTGAAGATACTCTCGGTTGTATTGAGGATATTAAATCCGGGGCAACATTTGACACTTGAAGCATATTACAACTACTCTGTGTGGGTATATTATTAACATTCACATATTGTGAGGATACTTCATTTGTATATACAATATTTATGCTAGCTTCCTGTATAATTTCCTTAGGATCAACCTTTTCAAAGTTTGGGGTACTCATTTTATTCAATTCATCTACTGATATGAAGGCTACACCTTTTGGCAGAGACTTATGATTAGCATTTACTATATCAGGTATTATTTCTATTAATTGTGGCATTTTAACATCGGATATCTCTTGCCTGAATTCTGAACGTGGAGGCGGCTCACATTTCTTCTCTTCCTTTTTTAATTTTGCGTTTTTTAGTGCTATTTGGACAAGGCTTCTTACCATTTTCTTCACGTCTTTTATGCCCATTTTATGATGATTCCGGAGGTGATTTCTAAGAGTTTCCTCAGCGTCAAAGACACTACTGCATCCCGGGCAGTTAATTTGGATATTATCAGCAAGTCCGTTTGTTTTTGCCAAGTCTGGGTGCACAGTAAACAAATGGAACTTTATATCGTCCTCTGCAAGAGCCATGAATGGACACGCTTCACATTTGAAAAAGGGAGTGGAACCTACTGTTTTCTCCTCATAAGACATTACCTTTTCTTTTGAAATAGGAGGCTTCGCGTCGCTGCTATCAGCTCCAACATTTGGAGTGACAGTTCTGTTCGTGTTCATGATGAAATATTGTGAAGCCATCGTTTTTTTTTATATCACACTTGTATTTCACTTTGTTTATTAACTAATTTGCCTTAGTTAATTATTTACAAGGTGTGTTATCATATTTTTAAAGAAATTAAAATCATTGTGTACTTCTCTACCAGCCACTTCAAGTTCAAGTTTTATAAATGTATGACTCCGTTTTGCGCGATGATTTCGCCGTACCAGCCACATACCAGCCACTCGCAAACACCATCAGCCATTGTTTTAACCTGTCAAATGTCAATGTCAAGTCAATTTTTTTTTATACTGTTTTTTCCATTGGATAAGGCAAAGGCACTAATGCGGTATACAGCCAAGACAGAATAATCACTTTCTTGTATTCCATTACAAGAATGTCTTCGATAGTGCTTCCGAAATAATCATTGCGAAATAATATAAAATTAGTTTTTTATCCCTCTAAGGAAAGGCAAAGGAGACCGAGTCCATACAGCCATTTGTCAAGTCAAGGCAAAATGATTGTTTTTAAAATTTGTTATTGTCTTTACGGCGGCGCGGCGTGGCGGCCGCTAGGCTTGTGCCAGTCTCAGGGTCGTATTCTAGAACTCTACTCAATGCTCAAGTCAGAATTTGAGTATGGTTTAAACACTCGAAATCATACTCAAGTCCCTGCCATTAGGGTCGTATTTCCAATGCTTGTGTTTCCAGTGCAATCCTGACTTGAGCATTGAGTAGAGTTCTGGAATACGACCCTCAGTTTTCTATGAATAATATAAAAATTATAGCGATCATCGCTATGTAGTGTCAGTTTATATTTATTATTATTGGCGGTCACTATATTCCTTTTTTTCCATTCTATAATACCATCGAGCATGTATAAACCATAGGCTTGAGCCAGTCTCAAGCAAGTAGACTTTGGAATGTATTATTTTATTATCTGTGCAACTTTTGTTACCATAATAAATTGCATATACTATTTTGTAGGTATCATTGAAGGCACCAATGATCTTATCATAGCACTATCACTCAATTGACCTGAAAACGTAACTTATCGTTGATGAAGTGAATTAAGCAGAAAAGTTGTTAACTACGCAAAAAATTATCACAATGTTATTTATTACAGGAAATTTTTTTATGTCAATCTAATAAGTAGTTTCGGGGTTTTTTTTTAAACATCAAATGGTTACATTTTTTTGACATTTGTAGATTATTTTCTGAATCCTGATTGGATGACCGTTCTGTCATACTGTGGTGTGTTCGTGTAATTTTGCATTTATTTCAAGAAAAAAATCCCAAAATGAGTGTAAGTAACCGTGTGTTATCGTTTTGAACATGAGTATCACAAATTTAGTTCGTATAACAATGCGTTTTATGACTTTGCAGCTGGAAATCGAGTCAATGACGCGCTACGCGTCACCAATCAACCCGGCTATTTTTCCGCACCTCACGATGCTTCTGCTGGGTATCGGCATATTCTTTACGGCGTGGTTCTTCGTCTACGAAGTCACTAGCACCAAAGTATCCAGAGATTTGTTCAAGGAGCTGCTTCTCTCACTAGTGGCAGCTCTTTTCTCTGGCTTCGGCATCCTGTTTCTCCTACTATGGGTCGGCATCTATGTGTGATATAAACTCTTAGGTATTTTAAGCTGTGCACCATTCCTTGGCAAGCGTGATATGGGTTTGTCTGTCTGAACAGATGATTTTGTATATTTAAGAAGTAAAATTTATTATATTATGCAGGATTTGTTATTTTGTTCTTATCGTTTCTCTATAGTGGAAATACTGGTATATTGTTTTATTCCTTAAATTATCCTTTTGGTACGAATCTAGGTAATAAATCTAAAAAATCTATCTAAATCTAAAAATCTAAAAATTGTAAAGGTTTTTTATTCGTTCCTATTTATCAATAACTAATGTATGTAAGATTTACTTATTATTATGTAAGTAGTAAGTGGTGTATCGCAGTGTGCCAGCGCCGTTCTGCCCTCCTTATCACCGATCCGGGGACTGCGGACTTAATGTCAATCACAAGTAACATAGTCAACTGTTTTAAAAAATTTAGTTATCTATTAACATATCTCAATTTCATCGAGATATTCTCAATTTAGAGGACCATTTAAAGTGGCTTTGGTGGCAGAGAAGTTTAAAGAGTACTGACTCCAATGGTACAGTCATATAAAAAGGAGAGAAGAGAGTTGCTCAGTAAGGGTAGTGTGGTCCCGACCCCAAATAAAACGAATGCGTTATGACAAGGAAGGCAGCATTGCTGCAATAAGTCTCTTGTATAACATGGCCGATGTTATTTGTCTTAGCATTTTGTAGGTTAGTTTAAAACCAATGCGAAATTGTATTTTATTGCGCTTAAAAGTCTAAAAATATGAATCGACCCCTCCTATGTAGAGTATCGTATGTCGAAATTGCCAAGTTTACAGGGGAGCGTTTTAAAGTTCTGAATTCACTGAAAGAGTGATCACCATAGATCATCTAACCGATATCTAGGATTTTATAATACTCTATGTGAGTAATGAGCTTTGCCGAATAAAACTGAGAAATGCTTAAGTCACGTGTTATGTTCGTTTCAGTGAATTCAGAACTTTAAAACGCTGCCCTGTAAACTTGGCAATTTCGACATACGATACTTTACGTACCCGACGCGTCGGAGGGGTCGAAATATTGGTAGACAGACACATTGAAATCAAAATTTCTGTCTTTTTGTATTCTTTAATTAAAAACTCATACGATTTGAACTTGCATACAATTTGTTTTCCATCTTGCATCATTTTTTTTTTTTATAAAAAATAAGTGCGCATTTGACCTCCATCTCACCTGATGGAAAGTGACGAGGGGGTCGAGGATGTAGCATGTAGAATGGAATGATGCATAGCGAAAAATGGGCGAAGCCAGTGCGCGGCGATGGGTTGTCACTCTGTAAATTTGTTACTATATACAAACAACAAAAAATCCATCGACCCGACAGGACTCGAACTTGCGGCCACGGGATTCCGTCCCCATTGCTTTACCAACTAAGCTACAGGTCAAGTTTACTAAGTCGTCGAATTTCTTCGATGTCTCTTTGATTCTTTGAACTTTCAAACATCTTTGCATTGAGTTTTTTACCTTAGCGACATCTGTGAGAGATTTTATGAACCTTCTTACTCACTTATTTTTCTGTGTTCGTCTTTGTATTTAATAATTATAACAAACTAGTGTGAAATATAAAATAAATCAATAATTCTGTAATTTATTAATTATAACTATGGAAAGCTCCTCTGTGGGTTTCGGAGGTCGTCGGCCGTGCGAAGAAATCTATAAAATGGCGGACCATGGGAGACTGCCTTGACAGAAGTCAATGCGTCCGTAAATGACGAATAAGGTAGAAATGTATATAAAAATCATCATCATTATCATCAATCCATTTATATGTCCCACTTTTGGGCACGGGTTTCCTCTCAGGCGATGGTTTAGGCTATAGTTTCCCAAAGTGGACCCTACCGCCCTCTTGTGGGCGCTGAACAGTCCTAGGGGGCGGTAGGGTCCTCGGAAGCTATTGAGGAGCATTGATACTGTCCAGGGTGGGTTACCGCATTTAACCTCCTAAGGCCCCGTGTACATTAAAATGTACATGATACGTGAAGTTATTATTATTATTATAATGAACAGATTATATTTTGGTACAAATGTCGAATTCCCTAAATATTTCCGTATGCTCAAATCTGTGCTTAGGAAGAGCAAACTTCATCACATGACATCCGTCAACTAATCTATAGTTGTCGACATAGTGCACACTTGTGGAACATGACGCACCCGCAGGAATGGCGTAAGTTAATCAGGTGTATTCACTGAAATCCTGAGTACATTCGTATAGACTTTTAGTTAAAAATAACCAACTGTTAGTAAACTATAGAAAACTTTTATGATTGTGAACCTAAGCATGCATTGTTATTTTTAATTTAGCAATATAAAAATGTGTATATTTTAATGCACACTGACCATTACTGAGTCGAAAATAATGTATATATTTTTTCATAATCGTAGGACCTAGGGACTGCGTAACTCCGGTGTTTGTGAACCGATTTTGATGATTCTTTTTAGTTGGAAAGAGGGTACCTCAGTAGTGAGTGGCCCCATTTAAATTTGAAGAAAATATTCCACCTCTAAGGGTGGCAAATTAGAGGATGAATCCGGTTTCGCACACTTTCCGGTAACCGGTTTCAATAAAACTTGGCAAATAGATGTAATTCCACCAACTTTTGAGGTCGGTTTTTTAGTACTCTGTACTGAGATTATTAATTAAAAAGAATGTCAAGAATACTATCATTATATATATATATATATATATATATATATAAATATATATATATATATAAAAATATATATATATATAAATATATATATATACAATATATTTCTTTGGATTGCCTATCCCATTTCATAAACGCCCATTGTGCGTGAACGCTAAATATCGCATTCAAATTTAGTACAATGTGTTCTACATGACCAGGGATCGGAATAGGTAAAGTTTTTTACCTAAACTTCGAAGAATATAGACAGAAAACTGACTGGAGACTGCCTTTCGACAATATTTTTTAGGTCCTGGACCTGTTCGGGATTCGGGAAATGACTTAAGTACATTAAAAATTTACGTAATTGGGGACAGGCAGGTACACTATATTTATCTTAACTTTGCTACACAGTGGGTCGGATCAGCGATATTGCGGGCCATTGGATTTTTTCACGATAATTCTAAAAAAAATGCCAGTCGAGAGATCCTATTGTCCTAATTAAATATTGTCATATCACATTTTGCCATAAATCTAATAGTTTAGTAGGAAACAAAAATAAATTGTGTATTTTTTGTGTGGTACCATACCTTTAGTGCCCCATCGTTACAAATTCTTAGTCGATCCAGTTTTGGAATCACTACAGACGTATTATTAGACCTATCTTCTATAGATTTGCACGCTAAACGCGCGCCTAAACCTGCCAATTCACTACTTAAGCGTGTCAGAAAATGTGCAAAAATTGCTCATAAATACGATTATTGGTTGCATTCGAGTTCGACCAATAATAGTGCAGTGTATAATATGTAATACATATTTATTATATCAATATAATGAGATGTAATATAGGTAGACAAGGGTTCTCGAATTTCAATTTGTATTGCCGATAAATATGTATTTAAAAGTACCTGTCCAACATTTTAGGTGCTTTTAAATATTTAAAAAAAAAATCTTCAGTATTAACCCTGCCACTTCACGCACACATTTGTACGTGTGCAGATAGCGCCTTGCTGTATGTAGTAGCAGTATAGGTAAATAACTTTCGACCCTTGTATGGAGTGTCCGGGGCGTGCCTATACCCTGTTGCTTTAGTATTATATCGTAAAATAATGTATGCATGTTTTAAGATCATTGACCATCCAATAACAACTTCAAAGGTTTAAACCCCTTGTCAGCACATAATCCACCATGTCGATGCTAAATGTGCTTATTAAATCGAACAATATCGGCGAAGCGTTGTTGTAGCAGCACGTCTCTCAACACCGCCTGCTGGTTTCTCGTGCGTGCGTAACCTAGACACTAGTGGGCCACCGTGTTACAGAATAAATAGAGTAGTAAAAAATTATCAATTTATGACTGACAAATTTTAAAATCCTACGAAAAATATTTTTTTACTATTATAGTTGATGATAACAGGGCAAATTGAATGAAATGTTGTAGGTATACAATCTAAAACGTAATATCTATTGTTTGTGCCTTGTTAACATCGAGTTATATGTTCTTTTCCTTGTTCATTTGTTCATTTCTTGTTCTTGTTCATTTCCTGTTAAACATTGTTTTTACAAAAATACTCGGGATCACACTTACCATTTTCGATCTAAAAAGATACAATTTTCAAGCTAAGTTTTCGAAACGATTTTCTACAGATTTCGAAACGTCACGACCCAAGGAAAAATAATGAATTCCATATTAAAGAGTGGCAACGAATATTCAGTTACTATTCGATATTCGGCCAATTTTTTGCTATTCGGCCGAATACTGAATACCTAAACACAGAAGGACGAAATATTAAAAAACACACTAATTATCATGTAGCTTTTGTTAATGCTGGACATTATAGTGGATAGGTGTTATGTTTGTCAAATCAATTCACGAATATAAGAGCTATGAGAGTATTATACGAGGCCCTGGTAAAAAGTCATCTCGAATGCAACGCACTTATTTGGTCGCCACATGAAGCCAAATATAAATTAATGATAGAACGCATTCAGAACAAGTGTGTTAGATTCCTATATTTAAGACAGTATGGTGTGTACCCAGGTTATCCACTATCATATCGTACCCTATTTATTACTATGGGCAAGGTAGGCTATTATAAACTGGAAGTAAGAAGAGAAGTAGTTCTCGCCACTTACTTATTAAACGTGATGCGTGGTAAAATACACAACCCCAGATATTCAGATAAGCTATGTATACCTGACGAGTACGTAGGTCGACGATGGCGGCCGCTGCTGCTGCTGTGAGTGAGACGCACACGCACCAACCTGCTGCACAATGCGCCTCTCATGAGAGGACTGCGTGCATTCAACGCGGTGTCCACAGACCAAATAAATACTAGCGGTTTCACGCGACATCGATTTGCTCAATTGTTCTCTGAATTAATTCGCGCAGGCTGCATATTTTAAAATTGCATTTGGTGGTACATATCTATTAAATGAGTTTGTTTATTGTTGACATGTTTGAAACTAGTCGGGTAACTACGCTATGGTGTATTAGGAAATACATCTGTAATTGTACTTGTAAGTGGTTAGTAATCGTAATTGTTGCTTTAGGTACTATCGCATTAGGTTGAAAGCGTGTACCGCTGCTGGTACCGCTTGGAATGTTCTGTACACGGTGCTTTAGCATGTCCTATGGATTGTAATGTTGTAGGGAGTGTAGTAGCCTCCGCAGTCTCCATACATCTTGTTTAGCGAGTTTAAAGTTCAAAATTCAAAACGGCAAAGAAATAGTGGTAATAAATCCAGTTTTATAAATATTATTCCCGTTTCATTAATATTTGTTATCTCTAAATGTTTATTGCACAAGAGATTTTTGGTAACTGGTTCAAAAAGTTAAAGAGAAGACACAAAAACAAAATCAGAATGGCGAGGCAAAGAAATTATTAAAGAACGAGTCAAATTTTAAAAACGAGTAGCCAGGAACCGGAAAATAGGCAATAAAAAGATGGGATAACGATGTATGAAGGTCACATCGTCACGAGGTTAAACCTTTCATGATAGTTTAAGTGTTTTTAAATATAAATAAAAAACATTGTAAGTTCACGAAATAGCAATTTTTGCGTATTTATTTACTAGATCAAAGGAATTCCTATATAAGTTATGTTAAGAGGTTGACAATGTAACAAAGTTTTAGTAAACAATATTAATCAACAACAAAATCAACTGAGTACTTGTTATTAGCGACACAAAATAAAATAAAATTTTTAAATGTTAAAATTATGTATCATTTAAAGTTAATAAGTGGTATTTTTCGTGCCAATTTTTGCACGTAGGTACGTTAATAGACCGAAGAGTTTGGCCGAGAGTCGGTCACACACCAAGCTAAATAAACGGTATTCGAGCGATCGAACACGCAGAAAAAATTTCTTCGATCCGGCCGGATTCGAACCGACGTCTTCTAGCTTACCGTGCCAGACGCTATACCAACTAAGCCACGGAACGAACCATGATGGCGCTACGACTAAAAAGTCGTTGAAAAAACCAAATACAGAGATACGACGCATGCACATAGAAAAATTCGTGAGGTGCGCTGGTTCGTTCCGTGGCTTAGTTGGTACAGCGTCTGACGCGGTAAGCTAGAAGACGTTGGTTCGAATCCGGCCGAATCGAAGGAATTTTTTCTGAGTGTTCGATCTTTGTATTAATAAATATAACTAATAAAATTATGTCTTTCAACCCTGACATTGGCGAAATCGTCGCGCAAAACGACGGAGCCATAGATATAAAAGTTGAAGTGGAACTATAAAAATTATGAATTCGAATGTTTCCAAAAGAGTGTCGGTACAATAGCACCAATATTAATAAATACGGTAGGTAATTCCTCTTAAACTCTTCGAAGATCATTACCATCTCTCTTATCTAGGTTTGTCGGTACATTTATCAATAAGAACAGTCACATGCATGCGTTGGGAGACCATTGTTTGGATTCGATCCATCATTGTCTTGTTTGTCAATACGTATTGCCTAAAAATGATAAACTCGACTAGAAAATGGATGACAAAAGAAATCGGTACCTTCGTCCTAAACGGTTTCGTATAAGTTCTATGACGCTACGATGACGCTATGATGTTAAGAATTCACAGAGCGGTTTTCACCCGCACACGTCTCGTGCTGTGGCTGCGGGACGGCTGTTTAATTCTATGCTTACGGTTCCGCAGGTTTGTGCGGTTACTTAATTATTTTGTGAGTATTTGGCACATACAAAACATACACATAAAATATAATTACCGAAAATATTTGGTATCCATCCGATATAACTGTGTGATTTCGATGGCGACCACAGTGGCCGCTTGCTTTAGATCCTTCATTATCAGCGCGACCACTCCGAAGAGGTCCCCGTCGTCCAAGTGGGACACCTAAGTATTTGCATATTTCATTACACAAGCCAAAAAAATTGAAAAAGAAAAAAATAACTGATTTTATCTACATTTGGGGCGCTGGATGAAATTTTTTTTCGATCCTCTAAGATATGAAATCAGTTTTTTTTGTCAGTAGGGTCACCTGTCCAACAATGAAACACTCGTACACAATGAAACACCGCGATAATTCTAAAGTGCGACGTTACCAAATAGTGCAGAATAGCGTACAAGGATGCACTCGCGGAACTCCCCTCTAGTTCAGTTCAGCGAGTCCGTCACGAAGAACCAGACGTTTTGCCAGAGTTTCGTTTGATGTATCGGCGAAAAAGTAAGTATTTTTTGCAATTTTCGTTGTTTTCTTACTTAAATATACTTGGAAATCCCGTATTGCTAAATATTGCTTAGTATTGTACACGTTTTATAGATTTAAAGGGACTACTTCATAAATGAAAACATTTTTAGTTGTATTTTTTTTTTGAGTTTATTGTGACGTAACCTAGATACAGTACAATGTAGTGTACAATGAAACAGTGGCATGGAAACAATGTTTCATTGTGTACTATCTCTTGTGATTAAGAGTAACCAATCCGTTCGAAAATATTACGTAGATTAAAGCATTTTTGTATTTTTAAAAATAGGTTTTATTATTTATTTATTCCCATAATTACAAAAATAACGAAATAATCACCCTGTTTCACTGTTGAATATAAGGTTTTTTTTATTGTGTACATACCTGTGGACACAATGAAACATTTCCCATTTAAAAAATAAACCTTAAAGATTATCTATAAACTGTGTAAGAAATCTGTTTAGGACATTCGATGCTCAATTAAATTGGCTATCTGTGTAAAAAAAATACTCTATAACCTTAGAATAATAACGCATAGAAACCTAGTCCGCACACGCTAAGTGAGGCAAATTGAAGCGCGCCCAATGGGCCTACACGAGCGAGCAGGCCGTCAGTGCTCAAGGTCAACTTGCACCGCGAACAAATCAAGAATTTTAGCTAAAAATGACGAAATGTGCGGTAAATGGGTGTAAAAATACGTCAGACAAACATAAAATAGATACTAACATCACATTCCACAAGGAAGTAACGCGTTTCAACTTGTATTTTTATATAAATATTCACTAAAACCGAAAATTAACCTACTACTAAAAATAGCCTACATGAATTTGATTTTTGCCTCACTTGTGACAGTTCGTTTGATATGAAACTATCATTCTATGCGTTATGATTCTAAGCCTATAACATTAAAAATAACAGAACTATGAATGTTTGAAAATTTGTTGTTTCATTGTTGGACATGTGACTACTTTTTTATGACAGCGTTTTTTTTAACTTTTGTTCTTACTGTGAAAGGTAGATCGAAGTCGGTCTTGCGTGATATTTGGATTTAGGTTGGTTGTCACAAAGTTAATCTAAAATGTACTTTATTGCAGGCTACTAAGCATATTTGAGTTGTTAAATAGATATGAAATGAGTTCAAATAGAAAAGGTTGTGTAAATCATCCTGATATACATATTTGCTACAATATATACGATAAAAAAAACAGAAAAATTTATTGTGACAATAGGAGATTATCTTGGATACTTATACATATATTACTTACACATCTGGGTCTAAGGTTTATGATCACGATAAAACCTGGATGCCCTATCAGGTCTGTAAAACTTGTAGTGAATATTTACGACTGTGGTCGCACAGTCGTAAATATTTCTATTTCTATTCTATTATATTCTATTTATCACTAACTGGCAACAGAAAAGTCTCAATTTTGGCATACCGATGGTTTTGCAGGGGCCCCAAAAACAACTATGACGACTTTGGCCCGTGGCCTCTCATAGCAAGTGCTAATCCCAACATTTTGCCAGCTACTAAAGCTCAGTGAGGATGAATCCTGTCAACTAGGTGAAAGATTTCACCAGAAGATTAAAGCAATGGAGGACCGCAGTCAAGATGGATTTCTGCAGTAATCTGACAGATGACTGCTGGAATTTAAAAGGGACTGTTCAAAGATTCCTTCAAGAATGTCTTGGAAAACAAGCAAATGCTTAGTGATGATCTTTCTCAGTTTTATTGACGATCCTCTATCTTTGTATATAATAAATAATATTTTCATAATATGATAAAAAAAATCCATGTTTATTATTTTTATATGATCCATGAGTTTTCCTGAAAATAGTAGGTAAGTATAATGTGTATTTCACAAATACGTTGTATCTGAAAAATTTGACCTCTTGGGCAAAAACCAATGCCATATTTGAATTTAGGGCACCAAATTCATTCATCAGCTGCAAATACTCCGGCTTTGATTTGCTCCCAGATTTTGAACCAGAATTTGATTTATTCGAAGATTAATTTATTTTAACGTGCGTTGCCTATTTACTTATCTTGCAACGCTTAACACACAAATGTTGTGCTATTAACTCTGAGGCTGGTTACACATGGCGCTGTGGCGGAGGCGTATTTTGTCGCCGCAAGAGTAGCGGCGTTATACCGCAGCACCAGAGCGAGCGGCGCGGCCCATGGGCTCATTCAGAGTGCAGGCGTAGGCGCGGGCGGCGGGTACGGGCTAAAGGGTCTTGTGTTACGATCGGGTAGATCATCATCACCAAAATCATCCTATCGCAGTCCACTGCTGGTCATAGGCATGCCGCAATGTGCGCCATTTCGCCCGGTCCTCAAATCAAATAAAAATAATCTTTATTTCACAGGTAAGCATTATTACACTTGAAATCGTCACATAGGTTAAACTCTACCGCTCATTCGTAAGGCAGATTCCCCTGAGAAGAATTAGCAAGAAACTCTAGGGGTTGCTCTTTGTAAATAACATTTGCACGCATTCAACATTTACAATATATTTTTTGCTTTCAAACATCAAAGATCGAGACTACCTCCATGAGCTAAACGGGTTACTACCACGGATTTTTGTCATCCAAGTACGCAGAAGTTGTATAATAATCTTTAGTATTAAGTTTTTGTTTCACTATAGTTTTAAACCTCGTGAATGGCAAATTTTGTATATCAACCGGAATCTTGTTATAGAAGCGAATACATTGCCCCTTAAATGAATTTGTCAGTTTGTGAAGACGACTATCAAGAACAGCTAGTTTATTTCTATTCCTCGTATTAATGTTATGTCTGTCACTATTTTTCCTAAAGAGATTAACTATTAAATTATAATTACATTTTCATAGGTGTACTGTGACGCTAGTGTAATAATATGAATTTCTTTAAACTTGTCTCTCAAAGATACTCTGGGGCCCAGATTGTAAATTGCCCTAACCGCACTTTTCTGCAGGACAAAGATTCTATTGATATCGCTGGCATTACTTCAAAGCAAAATGCCGTATGTCATTAGACTGTGAAAGTAGCTGAAGTAACCCAATCTAGCGGTTTCAACGTCTGAAAGTTTCCGTATTTTTTTAATCGCGTGCAGAGCTGAACCGTTTTGATAACTTACTTATATGTGGAACCCATTGCAATTTAGCATCTAACGTTATAGCTAGAAATACAACTGTATCCACAAGATTCAATTTTTCGTTTCTAACTACAATGTTTGTAACCGTCTCTCTAACATTGGGTAATGTAAATATCACACAATTTGTTTTTATCTCATTAAGGAGCATGTTATTAACAGAAAATCAATCAACTACTTTAGATATAGTACTCAGCTTGTCGCATCCATTTCCCGCCAGCAACCTTTCGCAGGTCGTTACTTCACCTGGTCGGAGGGCGTCCTACACTACGTTTGCCGAGTCGCGGTCTCCACCTTAGAACTCGTTTTCCCCATCGGTTATCGGTTCTGCGACAGAATCGATCGGGTAGAGCCACATGTCGAAATCGCAAACAGACGCTAGACGCTAGACCAAGCACTGAAAGGTGCGGCCGGACCAAGCCAATATCTACGTGCGCTGCGCGCGCGGCCACTATACGCAACGAGCATTTACGTAGGTATAGTAGTATAGGTAGGTAATAAGGACTAGAGGTGTGATAGAGACAATTGCTGCAGCGCTCGCCGCCGCAGTTTCAAGTACCTAACGCCGCCGCCCACCGCCGCAGTGCGTGTATGAAAGTGTGTGTGCAAGGGCTGCGGCGCCGTGTGTAACCAGTCTAAGGGTCGTATTCTAGAACTCTACTCAATGCTCAAGTCAGGATTGCACTGGAAGCACAAGCACTGGAAATACGACCCTAATGGCAAGGACTTGAGTATGATTTTCAGTGCTCACTGCAATACTCAAGTCCTGACTTGAGTATTGAGTAGAGTTCTGGAATACGACACTTAGAACAGTTTCTGTTTCGTGGTGCCCGCGTATTTTCCTTTATAAGTAAGTATCCACCTCGGTTCCTTTCCCTGTGTAAATGGCAACTGTTCCAGAATTGATGAAATACACGCAGTCCACTACGTCTCCAGCGCGTACGATGACGTCATTGGGCATGTAAACTTCTGCATGCAAGCAACCCAGAATCGCGCCCACAACTGACGCTGGGATGTCCTCAAATAAGCTCACGTTTTCTACTAGTCTGTGACACGAGTACAGGTTGATTTCACTGCGAAGTTGTTCTGAAAACGTTTTTTTTTATTATTACTGGAATAAGGGCGCATTTCACCTCCATCTCATCTGATGGAAAGTGAAGATTAGGTCGATGATAGAGCATGCAGACCTATAGTACAGGGTTATTTTTAAAATACCAACAACCTCGCTGGACCATATTACTTATCATCATAAACAATAACTTTTGTCCCATGATTTTTCACAAAACAACAAAGTAACCAAAAATAAACTTTTGAGTTTTTGTTGTGTACTATCTACCACTTTTTAGAGCATACTTTCCCAAAGTGGTTCCTAGCGTCACACGTTCCATAGAGACTAGGACGTAGTTAAGCCAAAAGGATCCAATGCACATCCAGTCACTTTCGAGATGTGACAGTTTGAAGTTGAAAAGTGTTTCTCACTCTTGTTTTATTTTCAAAACTTATAATCTTATGTAACTCCAGAGATATTTATTTATGTTTATATGTTGGATTTTTTTGTTGATGTAAGAGGTTAGACTTTGGGAACCGTAATATAACTTATTTTTTGATAATTTTGTGGATTGGATCCTTTTTGCTTAACTACGTCCTATTGATCCTTACCAGAGTCCGGATCGAATGGCATAAAAAAGTTTTGTAAAAATCGCCTTTTATCTTGCTGACTGTACCATTTTTTCAAAATCTGTGAATGCAAATCAACATATTTAAGTCTTTTAGAACCGTTTTCCTGTAACTACAACGATTAAGGTAGCTGGCCTTCTGCTGTATCAAGCACAAGTCCTGTCGTGTATGGAGCAGGAACCGCTGCCACCTTTGGGATAGCTCTGCTACATACCAACTGGCCACCTTGGATTCAATTGACAAGCGCCCCAAGAGGCTTATAGGTCGACACATCCGTAGAACAAAGGTCTATGTGCAAGGCTACTTATTCTCAGGACATAGTACACTTCGTTCGTCTTCTTCGCTGTGAATGTCAGATCGACTATTGTTCAATTTTATAATTTCCGAAACGAAACAAGATATATAAACTCTCAAAACACCTTTACGTAGGCCTTAGTTTGAATAATGAAATTATTCTGTAACGTACTTATTCTCTTTTCGCTATATAATCACATCGGACTCTGTTCTTCGGATGAGTCGAGGTGTCTCGGAATTAACGGCTATGGAGTGGAATTCCCTGCCTGCAGACTTGTTCCCTCAACGTTATAACTTGGGTCTTTTCACGGCGAAAGTGAATAGGCATTATTTCGGTGTGCATGCTGCATCGTCGACCTCATCGTCACTTTCCATCAGTTGAGATGGAGGTTAAATGCACACTTACATTAGAATAAAAAAAGGGTAAAACGTTGACTTTTGTGTGATTAATACCGCCTACGCCTGTTGAACACGCAAGAAATTTAAGTCTTCTGCTAGGTTTTAATTAGTTTGGGAATCTACCTACTTCCATTATTAATAGTGACGCAACAGAACTGTTATAACGGAAACAGATGTCAAAATTAAATCTTAGCGGAATCGGAAACGGAAGCGGACGTGGAAGCGGAGGTGTAAATAGTATCTCAACGAAATAGTTCAAAATAGGACTTGTTTTAGGTTTTATAATTACACTTAACACATAATTGATAAAAAAGCGCGCCCCACGTCGTTGTAAGTAACTAAGTTGTAAATTTTCGATTAAAGTTCCGTTATAAAAGTAAGAGAAGCAGAAACGGAAGCAGATGTGAAAACGAGTGCGAACCTTCCGCAATTGCGGACGTAAAAGCAGAGTCTCGTTACAAATCGAATTATTAACACACATCTACCTAGTCAGTATTGTGGAGATTCTAACCTGAAAGACAGTTAAGAGTAACTTCTTTGAAATATCGACCATGGTATCTGTAGTTGTAAAAATCACGTACGCGTTTTTTCATTTGAGCAGGAAATAACTTCTGCCGCATGTATCTCTGTCAACATTTAAAAAAATTTTAATTTATGATACGGAGATGAAGTCTTTGTTATAAGCAGTATTCTTAGTAAATCTAGTTAATAAATACGACTTACTTCGACTTGATCCATAAGTTCAATGTACCGCAATTCGGCATTGTGCTTGGTTAAGTACAATTTAAACATTAAAGCTGAAAATGTAATCATTGATTAAGGACATTAAAAACATGGAAAGCGTAGTGGCCTACAACGTAAAATTTATATTAAATTTAGTGAATCTGAAATATTTGACACCTTAAAATGAAAATCCACATTCGCGAATAAAATTTTAAGGCGGATTTATAGTCTTACATGTCTTATTTATTCCTATATTTAACCAATTTTATTTATTTTTTGTTTAACTTTATTATATTTATTTTTAACTACGTAATGCTCGGCTTTGGTTATGCACACAAAAGGTAAGCCTTTTATAACTACTATATCATACATATCCCCTAATCAGAATGTCTTAGGCTCAACTCACTGGCGCAGAGTCGAAGCGTAGCGACGCGTCATGTTTTTCGCCTATAGCATATTCATCTCTATTTTCCCATTATTAAGGTACAAATTTGTGTTATGACGCTTGGTTGCAGTCGAGCGGCTTCTTTGGTTAACGGTTATTTGAGCGCAGTGAGGCGTCAGACACTGACCACACTGTGATCCGGTCGCACTAATGCGAGCGTACTCGCGCGTCGCCAGGCGCTGTAGTTGTGGTTCAAAAGTTCGTGGAATTAACTACATCTAGGTATTTGCTAAGTTTTGTTGAAATCGATTACCGGAAAGTGCGCGAAACGAAAAAGGAGACAAATGGGCCTTAAGGGAGTCACCACACTTATGGACACGGCATATTATTACGTCGGTCAGAAAGCTGTATGTCTATATGATAACAGTGAAAAATACTTCCTGCGAATTTACGATCGCGTACGCAGCTGACGACGGATGATCGCCCGAAAGGCAGCTTTGAAGTTCTAATAGACACGTCGACTGCCAAATGACTCCGAACGTGGTAGGACACATTTCGAAAAGGCGGAAACGAAAAAGAAGTAGGTAAACCAGTGAAACTTTAGTGGCACCGCTCCGTCCAGCCCGAACTCTGAGCCCTAATCATCTACTGCTTCCAGAGCTACCGATTACGTTGTTGTACGTGACATGTAACGTCTTTATGACTCCACAAAGTCTGCGGATAATATGGAGTACATACGAGTGATATCCATTATGTCGTGACAACAGATAGTCGTGCAGTTTGAAGTGTTGTGGCATGTATATTTAAATGAAGTGGTTCACAAATAGTACAACACGATTAACTGTCGTTAACGACTTTTTTGACGTTACGACGACAGACTGTCGAGACATCGGGAAGAGCTAAAACGACAGTCGTACGACGATAAATAAAACGTCACGGTAAATATATGACGACAGATAATCGCAGCTTCAAACGATTCTGTTGTGCAAACAACAAGGCGGTTGCCGTGAACCGATAAATTGTCGTCACGATCTATACGACAGTTGTTCAATGATAAAATAGACGTCGACGACAGTCACAACTAGGCTAGACGCGACAGTCGTCTAACGATACGAACGTTACGACATAATGGAAATGCGAATATCTATGGAAATGCGTCCTTAGGGTCGAGCGGTTGGGGTTCCGCCACGATGCGAATTTTATACTTTATAATTAATTTGTGGTGAGAGTACCATCTGAACATCTGTCGACCTTCATGAGGGAGAAGTTTTGGTCTAAGTGTGAGATGTACCGATGTTTCCGAGACCGGTTACCGGACACCCGCGTTGCGTCACACGTCGCAATCAATACGTGTAAATAATAATTAGTGTTTTCTTATATTGTAACCTAATTAACCTCTCATATTGTATATCATTGTAACCTAATTATATGTAAAGATATATACACATTTTCATGCTCATCGTAAAAGGGCTTAATGTGACAAGTGTGGTAGAATATGACCGCTTCAAGCTGAGTCCGCGTCTATACCTGGTGGTGACCGCCTTAAGTTGGGTTAGGATAAAAAGCTCCACACAATGATCGCGTGTCCACATAAATTCCACCCAAAGTGTCGTCAGTGTCAATATGTCGTGTCGCGTTGCACTCGGTGTTTAGAGCTTGAAGCATCAGGAATTACCTGTAATGTAAACTGTGAACACTGAAAAGATGAGAATAATAACTGCGTTCACGACAACCTCATGTCTGGTGTGAGTGTGGAACATGTAGTAGCGGATACCTATAAATAATAGGAATACTTTAATAAGTTGCAAGTATACATAACAGTAATAAAACCATATGAAAAAAGTTACCACAATGATAATAATTAAGCAGTTATAACATAGGAAATGGAACTATTTTTCCGGATTCGTTTTTTCAAACAAACCAGTGTTTCGGGTTTTTACAGGTCTTATGGTCACGGTTGACTGAGGTGGTAAAGTCATCAACTAGTTATGTCTAATATTAATGCAAACTATCCTGTTTTTCACTACAGTTACAAAAGTTATTAATTAAATACCTTATATTTAATTTCACAAAGAACATTCCAATTTACGCTACATTAAGTTTTACAAATTATTTTATGAATGAATTTTTATTAAGTTCAATTTCTTATTAATTAATAATAGAAATTAGAATAAACTGAAATATATTAATTAGTACTGCAGTCTTATGTCTATTTGGGATTTTTCATTAGAGGAAATACTGGATCCCAAACTGGTGGTACGGAGAAACCATCTTCCCTGTTGAAATTAGGATGTTTTTTTAATTTCAATGGCCTCTTGCAGCATCCTGGGTAGAAAACGGACTTCTTTTGCAAGGGCCTGGGTTTTGTCAAACTTCATTGAATGTGTAGGTTTATCCATGATATGCTCTTGACTTTACCACTTCAGTCAACCGTGACCATGGGACCTGTAAAGGGTCCGAAATGTTGGTTTGTTGGAAAAAACAAATGTACGCGATTTAAATCCGGAAAAATAGTTTCATTTCCTATGTGTAACAATAAAAATCGCAAAAACCTAAGAACTCGATAAGTAGTATATAAGTTTCCTGTTATCTAAATTAATATCAATTAAGCAAGACCTTGTTGTCTACACACTATCGCATTAGGTACAACCTGTAATGATGGCTTTAACTTGGAAACAAATCAATATATATCGCATCCTTGGCATAATTTGGCCGCATCTTCAAAATATATGCTTTATTTCACCTGACGGAAAGTGACGATGCGGAGGACGATGAAGCATTCACTCTCACCTTGAGAAGGCCGAAGTTATAGAGTTCAAGGAATTAAACATAAGAGTTACAAAAATTCTACATCTACGTGGGGCGCACTATAAGTTTCCGGCAAACAAATGGTCGTGTACCAATAACTATTCCCGGTACAACGATTCTCCAAAGCAACAGTAGCCACGTGTCCAGTTTTATTGAAAAAAGAAGCAATCATCCGCTTAGAGGCACTTTGCACGCGCGCCACTTTGATTGGTTTCGGCTCATCTCGAAAGACCCATACGCTCGATTGCTGTTTTGTTTTGGGATCGTAACTATAAATCCATGTTTTGTCACCTATTACTATGTCGCACACCAAATTTGACGCCCCTTCGTTGAATCTGGTAAGCATGGCATTGCACCAAGTGACGCGATCCGTTTTTTGAGCCTCAGTCAAACTGTGTGGGATCCACGGAGAGCACAGCTTTTTCACACCCAAATGTTTGTGTAGTATTGATTGTATTTGACTCATGCCTATGCCTAAAGATGCCTGAATCTCATTGTATGTCACATGCCTGTCTCTTTTGATCACACGGCGCACAGCATAGATGTTTTTGTTGTTCACAACAGTGGACAGGCGACCATCACGAAATTCGTCACTGAGATTCACACGACCGCGTTTTAATACTGCAAACCAGCTATAAATAGTCGTCTTGCATGGTACTTCATCGCCAAAAGCAATTTAAAGCCGAGCGAAGCTCCGCTGAGCTGTTAAATTACACTTAGTCGTAGAAAATCATACTACGAAAATATTCATCCATGGTGATGTAGACAACCAATTTCTAAAATGACGCCACAATGTAAAAACAAGTGACAGTCGGATGAAACAAACTGTATTCTACAGCTAAAGAGTTCCATTTTCAAATATTGTAATTACTTTTTAAGTATTGTTTATGTAAGTGGCCAGTTCCGGAAAATTATAGTGCGCCCTATGTATAGGTAGGTACACGATTTGTTTCTTGTTATTCGTATTATTTTTTTTGGAAAAAGCTCTTTTTGTTTTTAATTTTTTATTTCACAAAATTCGTTTCTTGGTTTTTCTTTTCGAATTTTGTTTTCTTGTTTTTTTTTCACAAAATTCAGGGAGCATAACATTAGTAAATAAATATGGCTGTATACAAAAATAACAGAAAATGACTAAAAAATGATGATAATATGTGATAACTGTCTCAGTAACTGCCTCCGTGGCCGAACGGTTACCATGCCGGACTGCCACGCAGAGGTCCCAGGTTCGATTCTCGGGCCGGGAGAAATAGTTGTATGGCCTACAATTATTTCTCTCGTGAGTTTGGGTGTAATTTGTGGTTGTCTATGTGTGTGTCCATGGCACCCGTGACACAGGGTTTCCCTAGTGCGGGGCTATGTTGAGTGTGTGTGTGCGATAAAATTAGAATACATGGGTTGCACCAGTATTCGATTGGGCTTATTATTAGAAAAGGTATTAACAAATCAGAATAAAAAATTACCGAAGATTGCACACGCAGTAAAAAACAATGAGAACCCGTAACGGGCACTGACAGGTATGTCGAGCAGGCGGCCGTGCAAAGATATTAGCTCCGCATTGTTAGTGCTATGCAATTGGCCGTACCCTATTGACAAATATTTGTTAGCATTATTATCATATTCGAACCGCTTATATCCAACAACTTCTATTATCTACTGCACCACATATAAATAAAATAAGAATAGACCTAGAAAATTTGATACAAATCCGACGTGGACAAGTGCCCGATGGCGACTGATAGCCCATCAGCCGCCAGCAGGCGGTATGACGTGTCACTAAACCGATTGTTAATTTTCACGTTTAGGGATAAATTGGGTTTCAGTTGTAAACCAAAATTTAGCAGGTTCTAAACGCTTCCTATCTTGGTAGTAGTAATACGGGAAAGTACAGGACAAAAACAATTTCCCTACTACGTTTGTCGGTACTAGTAGTAGGTACAGCTGGTAATATCACGGGCAACGAATGAAACAAGTACTTAAAGAAAAATATCTCCATATAAAAATGACAGATATTTTGTTCCTAAATAAACTCGATTTAGACTTTATTTTAGCCTGTTTTCGGGATTTTATATGATCGGGTGAAATACCTCCCATCGTGTAACGAATTAGCACATTCTTTATCCATATATATCCATAAGTGTATCGTATATTTTTTGTAAGATCGTTTTTTAATAGTAAATACCTAAACCATTTGATCTAGCAAAAAAGTTTTTCCCGCTTCCCCTCGCTGACTCGCCTTAATTCTATTCCAACTATTCCGTCCGTGTTTGTAGTGGTTAAGGCGAGTCTCCGGAGGAAAAGCTAACAAAAAATATACGATATACTTAAGGATATCGTCTAAAGAACGTGCCTGTTTGTTACACGATCATATAAATTCCCGAAAACGAATTATTTAATATAAAATACCTAACTTTGCACATAATTTTAATATACAGATGTTTCTCTTTAAGTACTACAAAGAACCTGCTAGATTTTAGCTTTCAACTGAAGCCTTGTAGTCATTAAATTCACGTTTATCCCAAAATTTGAAAATTACCCAGCGGTTTAATGACAAGCCGCGTCGTCCGCTGCTCTGTCAGTCGCCATTGAGCGCTTATCGACGACGTATCTGTGATGTGCCTGTTCTTATTTTATTCATATTAATTGTCATCGCGCGGTTTGCGGGACGCCAGTGGCGATGTTCCCACACCTCACTTTCAAATTCAAATTCAATTCAAAATTCAAATTCAAATTCTAATTCAAAATCTTCTAAAATGTAGACTCGCTTTGAGATAACTCGCCTTAAGTGGAATGAGACCCACAGTACACGTTGTTACGTTTTGTGACCACACACAAAATATCAGTTTATCCACATAAAAAAATTCGAATTCATTATTTTTCTAATTGACAATGAAAACATAACATAGCTGTAGTTATGGGATCCGAGAAAATAAACTTTGCTCGATAAAACAAAATCACCTATTTCTAGAAAATTTTCATTATTCATTTCTTAAAACAAAATATCGATGATGATAAATAGATAATGGTAAATCTATTATAAAATGAAATAAAATAACACTTAACGATAATAATGTAAAACCACTATGGTTATAATACTGCAAAGCAGCAAGTTAAGGCATTTTTCATCGACACGACCACAACGTACAAAGCGAAAATGGTGAACTGAGGAGCCCTTGTGGAATTCTGTATAATTGTACCATTGGCACACGCGTCTCGCACAACCACTAAGCACTTCTGCTGTATTTATTATTCTGTGAAACTCCTAAATGACATGAAAAGAGTAAAATACTAACAATAATAGTAGAAGACGGGGAAGACATAGACGATGCAGCTGCACCAGTGCGCGGCGACGATCAAGAGCATCAAGTGTTGTATACTGACATGCCAGGAGTACGACGTCGTCAGCTTCTGCAATAGACATTTCTCACTTTGTTTCTTTCTGCATAGTCGTTTTACACGTATCGGGATTTCTTCTGATGTATGCACTCCTCGTAATTGTCTGTACGATGTTTCTTACACTCATTACAGAATGCTATTCAAAGGATAATGATAACGGGGTTTGTAAAAGGATTCTTAAAGTAACAAACGATGAATTTTCCACGAAAGTACTGTTATAAAGACTATATATTTACCTACTGTTTTAAATTTGACCATATACTGTTCGGTTTTACAAAAGCGATTATTACAATGAGACTACAGGCCTATAACTTAACTGAGTCGGTTCCTGAGGTAGGTGCGCGGTGCGGGAGGAGTGACAGTTTACGCATCAGTTATGTCACGCTGCACGCGGTATAATTTCAACTATAGTCTGCCGTTTTTGAAGACGGACTAAAATGACATTTGTACGGTTGCTAGTTTTCATAAAATTTTAAATAGTTATGTAGTTGTTGTCGATAGTGTTATCGATAGATTGTGAAAGAACATAAAATTTTGCCAAAAGTAATTGTGAATGTTACGACGCTCTAAGGATTACTAAATGCGTTATTGCCTTCTTTATTCTCATTTTGACAGCTGACCTACTAGAATCGAGATAAATTTTTATTCACATACACACATATAACAACAACAGGCGGATATGATTAAATATATGGAATTAAAATGAAAAAAACTTTAAAATTTTATATTATTCCATTTTATATTTTTCATAAACATAGTTCTAAATACAGTGTACGTATGTGAGAACTTACAAAAAAATTGACAATTCAAAAGAACTTGGGCTCAGTAATAAGATGAATAAGGTAAAAAAAACCTCAACAAGGTTAATTAAAATGAAACAAGTTCGGCTGTTTACTCCATAAGCGTGACCAATATTCAGTCGATAGTCTATAGAATATTTATCGACTGCAATCACTAGCTGTTCGCAAGCGGGCAACACTTGCGCAATGAACTGTTCTTTTACTCCGTCTCCAGAAAAGATAGACTATAGATTTTTCTGGCTACATTCAATAACACTAACAATAACAGGTTGACTGAAAAACGAGCCTACCAAATTAGTCAATTGTCGTTGTGTGAGACGATAATAAAAAAAAAACTATTTCATTGATATTTGAAATGAATAGACAAGCCATTTGGCACTTTTTCATCTGTTACGCAAACTGTCACTAACTTCTTCCCATGGACCTACCAACAAATGGACGTCGGATACGCGTTAAAGTGTCCGAACTTATAGGGCGTTAAAATCTCGTACAAGAGTCAATCTCGCGTCAGTCTTCGTTTGTTGGACTGACAGCGCGCTTGTCAATCATGCCGTACTATTTAGTAAAAACTAGTAAAAGTTCTTCAACAAAAGTGAAAAAACAGGATGGCATACCATGTTTCAGTACAGTCAAGTACTATATTGTGTTGTTACAGTTAACATTTAAAATGCTCCTTCCGCACCGCGTACCTCACGAACCGACTCAGTTAAGCGGTAGGCCTGTAGTTAAATTGTCATAATCGCTTGTGTAAAATTTAAAACAGCATATAGTCAAGTTTATAATAGTATTTTCGTGGAAAATGCTTCGTTCGTCATTTTAGAAACCCTTTTACAAACCCCACAATCATCATGTCAGGTATATAACACCAGGGACATAGGTGTGTTGCAAATCCATAAGGTGCTATTCCACCTGTGAGGCATGATGAGGATTGACATTTGTATAGCAAATATTTCAATTTATTCCCTGAGCATCTTCGGTTGAAATAGTCTAGATTGCAGGATGTGCGAAACGAGACTTGAAATATTTGTTGGTGTAATAGTGTATCGTATTGCTGCCTATATAGAGTAAATTTAATTCTGCAATGGAAACACGCTTCACGCGATCTCGCGAATTCACGGTGGCTTTTAATAATTATCGCAAGGTTGTGGGGTACGTACCACTACGGTTTAAAAAATTTAGACTTCTGAAAATAATTGCAAACTGTAGTCGAATTTCAAAAATGTATCAACTAAGATTTTTTTTCAAGTTTGCCATTAATAGCTATTTTTTAATATATAAATTTAACTTTTGGCGGAAACAAGCGAGATTTCTTTTCTTCTCTTTCATCGTGTCGCCTCGTCGGTAGAAAAGCGACCTTATTTTACACCTTCTGTTGAAGACAAGTTGACCAGTATAATACTAACTTTCATAAAAACCTTAACGTCCACGAAGCAAGTGACGATACGAGCAGATCGAAGGCAAGCGAGGCAATGGGCCAGCAGTATGTACCGACGGTGACACTCCATGTAGATCAGGATCTGCGGTAGCGGTAGGCTCGAGCACACATCCAGCAGGAACCACGAGCATAAGTACCTTCTGACATGTTACATTATCCCATTATATAGATCTCATATTAATCTAAAAAATAACGGTAAAATTCCGTTTCCAATGTTCCAGGAGGTAAAAATGGAAATAAGTGCTTATAAATTTTATACTCTAAGAAAAGGAATATTTCCTATATGCTTAAAAAAAGCTGTTGTTGTCCCGGTATATAAATCTGGTAACAAAGATTAAATAACAAATTATAGACCTATTTCGTTACTGCCATATGTAAAATGCCAGCAATATCTAAAATATTAGAAAAACTTATAAATAATAGACTTGTATTGTATTTGGAGAAACAATCCATATTACCTAAAACACAGTTCGGTTTTAGATCCAAATTATCGACATCTGACGCTGTGCATCACCTTACGGATTTTTTAGCGAGGGAACTTGACAAGGGTAACAAAACAGTGGGGATATTTCTGGACCTAGCGAAAGCTTTTGATAAAGTTTATATACCCATCCCATTGCAGAATCTTGAATTCCTAGGTATAAGAGGTATACAGCTGAAATACTTGTAGAGTATCTGGAGAACCGCTCCCAATGTATCAAAATAGGTGACGTTTTCAGTTCTGATATCAAGAGTACTGCATTTGGAATTCCTCAAGGAAGTATTTTAGGCCCTACTCTGTTTCTGATCTACATTAATGACCTTTGTAATCTAGAATTTGGTGGTGGGAAGATCATATCCTATGGTGATGATACTGCTCTGCTTTTTTCTGCTAACTCTGATAAGGAAGTCTATGAGTATGCTCAGCGAGGATTCAATGTCGTAAATAACTGGCTCCAGCAACATTTATTAACACTAAACACGGATAAAACTAGTTTCATGCAGTTCTATATGCGAAAACCAAAGTCTGTTATAACTAACACACAACTTTATGCTCACCATTGTAAGGAGACTACTAACAACCTGTGCAAGTGTCCAGACATTGCTATTACTAACAAGGTAAAGTATTTAGGTGTTATAATAGGTGATAACCTCTCTTATATGTCCATATCGAAGCACTAAGCGGTCGAATCCGTAAGCTAATGTTGTTTAAAAAACTTCGCGCTTTTGCTGATTTTAAAATAATCACGCAAGTTTATTATGCCGTATGTCAATCAATTATTACATATTGCATTACATCTTGGGGTGGTATTGCTAAAACTTCATCACTAATCATTGAGAGAGCCCAGCGAGTGGTTCTAAAGGTTTCTACCTTCCGCCCTTTCCTTTACGCCACTAACCTTCTGTATAAGTCGTGTAAGGTACTAACTGTAAGGCAATTATTTATTAAGTCCACAGTTCTCAAACAGCACATTGCACTCCCATATAGTACTGAAAACACTAACAAAAGAAGGAAAGATATTGTCTGCCCCAAAATTGTATCATCAAAACATGTGTTTATTTCCAGATTTTTTTGTGTTTGTTGGGTCAATTTTGTACAATAAATTAAACGCCAAACTCATTGACTTACAATTATATGGATGTCGGGTCCGCGCTAAAAAGTGTCCGAACTTATAGGGCGTTAAAATCGTATACAGAGCGTCATTCACGCTCTAGTCTTCGTTTGTTCGACTGACAGCGAAGCAAGCAAAATTAGACAGTACTGCGATGATATTGCAATTTAAATTAAACTTTTTAGCTTTTTCATATTCCTTGACATGTCACTACGTTTAAATAGGTTGACTTGGGACATTTTTTTCGTGGTTTTTGTATTATGTCCATTTATTTATAAGTCAATGGCCATATATCATTTTTGTTACATAAAGGTTAAGAAAATTCTCCAAGAATTCCTTCAAAATATGTCCTACAACGACACAGAGAATTTAATAATTATCCCAAAATAAATGTTGTCTAATTTAAGCGTATGTGTGTAACCGTCCTAAGTATAATCATTGACAAACTTACAGAGCAATTTTTTTCCTCTTCAGGGCACAATTGACTTTATTCTTCTCATGGAAACCTAAGTTGAATTTGACAATAATATCCAATAGGCAGATAATGTGGTGTGCGAGCAGAACGTAGTCCAAGGTCCAAATTTTGGCAGGCCATACATCCAGTAGAAAGGTGAGTCTAAATGGCGCCAGCATCATTTGCGCTAAGTTAATAAATACCATTAAACTGTTCCATCGAAAACTGGAATAATAAAACTCAAATTAAAATGTATAATAACCTCGATACAAAACAGTGTACTCCAGAAAGTAAATAAAATCATCACATGTAAATCTGTCTCTAATTCCGCACTAGGCTTTTGCAGTGCTACATGTGGCCAGTCGTTCTTTATGGATGCAAATAATGGACCATTAAAAGAAGACCTCGGGAAGAAACTTGAAGCGTTCGAAAAGTGGCGCTATCGTAGAGTTCTCCGCATCAGTTGGACGGACAAGGTCTCGAATGTCGAGGTCCTTAGACGTATGGCGAAGAAGGTGGAGTTGGTATGCACTGTCAACATCGGAAGGTTGCCTATTTGGGTCTTGTAGTGAGACATGACAGATATCAGATATCATCTATAGCACACAGTAATGATAGGCAAAGTAGCTCGGAAGCGGAAGGTTGGAAGAAGGAAAATGTCATGACTTCTAAACAACAGGGAGAGGACCGGTATCAAGACCGTGGAACAATAGTTCAGGCTAGCTCTGGACAAAGAAAGATATAGAAAACCGACTGCCGAATCTTCAATAATGGAGAGGCACTTGAAGAAGAAGAAGAAGATACAAAACAGTGTACTCAGTGTAAAACCAAGTATAGTTGTAAGGGAGATTACGATAAACTATTTAAAATACTTCCTGTAAAAGCAAAAGTTCAATGTTTGGCCGCTGTTGAAAACTATTATACAACTGAATTTAAAATTAATGTAACGAACAAGCATAACACTAGGCGAGGCCGTGAAAATAAATATGTATGTCCAAGAGTAAATAACTATTATGGTAAAACAAGGAATAGACATGACTTGCCAATTATATTTAATAAATTCGATTTTTTGAGAG